TGCTCTTGGCCTCTCAATTTCACCACAGCCTATCCCACAGCCACCTCCCCAAGACATCACTGAATTCATCGCCATTTACACACGCTCACCTGCTCTGGGCGCCCAACCTGACCTCTGGCACAAACGCCTTGGTCACCCCTCACAGGAAGTTCCCAACAACTGCATCCGCGCGCAAGTCTTCCTCCCCGGAACTCCTCTCCGCCCAGACGGCATTCCCGTTCCTGTCAACACTACTCGCCGCACTGACTGCAACATCTGCCCTGAAGCTGCTCTTGCTCATCAGCCCTTCAAGCTTCTTGAGCCGGGGACCAACCGCTATGAAAATCTTGAGAAAGTTTACAGCGACTTCCTCGTGCTCACTCAGACTGGCATCAACGGCGAAGAATACACCCTCACCTTCGTCGACGCTCACTCCCGCTTCGTTTGGGTCGCCAATGTCTCCCACAGGAGCAAGGCATTCGACATCTTCAAGGTCTGGCACGCCAATGCGGAGACACAGTCAGGCTGCATCCTCAAGCTCTGGCAAACTGACTGCGCAGCAGAATTCAAAAGCGACAAGATGCAGGCACTCATGAGGGAGAAGGGCATCATTCACAAGCTCTCCCTTCCATACGCGCATCCCCAGCAGGGCGTCGTGGAACGCACCAACCGCACACTCATGACCAAGGTTCGCGCACTTCTGCAGCAGAGCGACGTCGACGCGAAGTACTGGCCCTATGCCATGCATCACGCTGTCCGTCTGCACAACCTGCTCAGCACCACTGCCAACCCACACAACCCCAACACCACCCCTCTCAACCCATCCGGACATCCGCTGTATCAGCAGCAACTCGGCTGCCTCCTCTTCGCTGCGGTGACGTGCAGGCCTGACTTGTCCTACATTTCGAGTCAGCTCGCTCAATATGCCAAGCGGCCTGAAGGGGGGCACATGCTGGATTTACAGCGCGCCTTGCAGTACTTCATCTCTACACCGCACATTGGCCTCACCTACTCAACCCTCACGAACCGCTCCTTCAGCCTCGTTGGCTACATGGACGCAGATCATGCCGCCGACCCTGCGAATCGACGGTCCCGAACCGGCTTTCTCTTCCGCCTCGAACGTACTGGTCCAATTTCCTGGAATTCTCAGAAGCAAGAAATGGTGGCACTCTCCTCTGCCGAAGCCGAGTTCATCGCTGCCACATCAGCAGTTCGCGAAGGGCTCTACCTCCAGGAACTTCTCCAGGTGGCGAAAATTGCAACATCGGCGAGCTTCAAACTTCACTGTGATAACCAGAGCGCGATTAAAATCGCGAACAAGCCTGGCTTCGTCAACCGCACCAAGCACATCGCACTCCGCTACTTCTTCGTCAAAGATGAAGTTGACAAAGGCAAAGTCATCTTGACTTACTGCCCCACTGGTGACATGGCAGCCGATTACCTCACCAAGAAACTGCCACGTCAGCAGTACCATCACTGCGGAAACATGTGTGGCATAACCAAGCGCGTCAAGACTTCGCTCCTCCAGGAATGAAGGGGAGTGTTACGATATGGAAATGTTGAATAAACATTCATGAGTAACGAACCCTTAACGTGAAGATAACTGCAGCGAGGACGAAAGACCAAGCGACAAGACAGTTATTGAGACAGTTACAAGCAGGAAGAATTCGGAGTGCAAAGCGCGGGAAAAGTTCAAACGGATACCGAACCGCGTACGGTTACCGAACCGCGTACGGATACCGAACCGCACGGTTGCAATCCTGCATCTAGATTAGCCCTAAGGGGAATGTACCCCCTCAGAGTACATGGCTAGCTAGGACCTTTCGTATTCCACTGTATTCCTATATAAACCCCTGTACCGCATTGTATTAGTCACTTCTGTCGAGATTCAATTCTCTTTCTACTGACAGAGTCCGTACCCGACATTACCAAACAATCTCCTGCTGCTACACTCCGTGCGATCAACCTGAGACGATCCTAAAAGACGGTACAGATTGTATCATATGTTATTTGTAATTCTTGTTGATTAATTAGAAAAACATAAAGTATCACTGAGTAATAACCACTTCATTAATACCAAGTTGTTGTTGAGTTTCATTTATTTGGATCAAGCATAAGGTACGGTAATGTATAGGTAATGTATATCTAGAGGAAACATGATTCAATGGATTTAGTTTAGAAGATCTAGGTAATATGGGCATAAAGATATGTTTGCGGTTGCTGGATATTTCTCCGAAACACATGACGTAAACGAGTTTGCAGAACATCGATCCGCGCCCAAAAGCTTCACCCGCAAATCTCGAGGGACAAAGGGAGTCTCCTTAGCGACACGGGTCACAGTGCTTCGTTACGGCTTCCGACATCAACCACAAGCTAGACATGACCGAGACGCGGAAATCTCGCTGCTTGAATTGACAGGATGGAGCCTCCTGGGTCGTTATTGATGGTATGGAATAGTCTTCCGAGGCTGAAAGAGGGAATTCCGGTTCAGTATTCAGCTGCAAGTGTAAGCGGCGATGACTGCAGGCTAGTAAGCTTCCATAGACACAGAATCAGTGCAAGAAGTTATAGTGTGGTGTTTGAAGTCCCTTGGTGCCATGGCTTCACTTGGAGCTGAGTTTCCCCAGGAAGGGAAGCGTGAGCAGATGAAGCGTTTTCTCGAAGACTGTGTTGGTATGACTGGAGGTGTCTGGGATCTCAAGGCATCGTTCAGCGTGACGGGTTACGAGGCCTTTCCACGAGTTTCTGCCGAGAAGTCACCTTCTTCCTTGTCTGAATTCGATAACTTCTCCATGAACCTGAGCATTTTGGAATCTGGGACCAATGACAAAGACACTCGGTCTGAAGTTCCAGATGCGGACCCAGGATATGATGGGGACATCAACGTCAAACCTGCTGCTTCGCCAAAATGCTCAGCCTCTACCCGCTCTCTCGAGAGGAAAACCTCAGTGGTGTTCTCGGAGGAAGAGGGTTGCAATCATGATAAGGTCCTGTTGATCTCTGGTCGACGTGACAGTAAGGCACCTCAAATGCTCTCTCGCCGTCCAGCGAGCTCGAAGACGCGAAGGACGATGCAGTCTCCACGATTTAAGCGAGGAAACCGTACCCCCCAGCGGAAGCCTGATGGGTTCACCAGGAGACAGATGCCGCCAAGCTCCCCAAACCGAGATGGCTTCGATTCTGACAAGGAGAATAATTGTGGTGATGCTGATGAAGACCTGTTTGTAAAGAATCGAGCCCTCTCCCCGACTTTGAAGTCACAACAGCTGGGACTGAACTTGAGCCCACGACGGCCCTCCACTGACTGGGGTCTGTCTCCCAGCAAGTTTCCAGTCAAGGCTTTGGACAAGGCTTGCCGATCTACTTCCTTCTCGGACTGGTTATCACGGGATGCGAAGAAAGAGAGCATCGCCAGCAAAAGTCCTGAGGTTGATTCAGTCAAGCAATGGACCACAAGTGGGTCCATCTCACACGACTTGTCGCCGAAGGTCCGCTCACCAGCCAAGCTGCAGCAGCATTTACGCGAAGTGGAATGGGAAGACATTCCCACAAACACCGACCAGGATCCATTCAAGCCGAATGGTGTGCATGACCAGCATTTTGACTCATTGGCAAAAGAGGTATGATAGTTGTCCTGCTTCTCTATGTTTGCTGCTTTGTGGCTCGTTCATCGTTTTTGTCTAACACAGACCCACTGCTTGTTTTCAGAGGCACCGCAGGTACCAAAAGCTTCAAGGTACTGCGTCTAAGCAGTTAATTCCTCGACCCAAGTCCTCTTCTAACCCCTTCCAACGAGCCTGTAAGTGAACGGGCATGGCTGAAGGTCTGCAGTTTTAACTGTCGCAGGTTTCTTGTATTTTTACCAGATGTGGCTGATGCGGATATGGCTCAATCTTATTGCAGTGAGGCGTGTCAAGATAGCAGGACTAAATGTCACCCGAGAAATATCCAGCATTTCATCTATATTTTTTAAGACCCCCAAAAGTAAGTGCCGCATATTATGGTTACATGCATCCTTCTTAATTTACACAGTATCTCAGACCGTTTCACCTTTCTTACGGTATTGCCTTTCCGCTCGGCAGTCTTCCGTACCCGTGGATGGCAAGCCATTTGAAGAGACAAAAATATGCGATTGATAAATGTTAAGAGCTTTTTTTTAGACCTCCTGGAAATTCTTGTAGATAAACGTGTGTCACATTGGTAGCTGCTGATTTGATTGCTCCTGGTGTGGAACTTTGAAAGAACAAGCAGAGTTCAGCTTTATTATAGATACAAATTGATGGCCCAGTACTTCCATCCATGTTGTACCCGCTTAGATTCTACTCGTTATTGGTCAATCGGTGGCCTCTCAGCATCCATCTGCTGGATCAGCTGCATCACCTTTTCGCTGTCCGTGACCGTTGCTGATTCAACAGCAGTTTCTACCTGTCCTCGAAATGGCTGCCTGATCTCAAGGCACGTCTTTCGGTGTTTCAATCTCCGCTTCCCACCGCAATCCGCGTTATTCTCGTCCGCTTGTTACGTTCGCCGTCGCTCGTTTCGCGATCTGGACGGTCCTCGCTAGCTCACGCCGTCGATTAAAAATCGCTCGGCGTGAGGGTTTGTAGGTGCGTCCATTGCGTCGCTCTTGTCCAGTGATTTTCATCGCCATTCTTATCTCGCTTACCCTCTCCGCGTTTGTGTTCCTTATTGAAGGAGCATTGCTATTGTCGCGTGGCGTCTTTCGTTTCCGTATTGTCGGCATTGTTCGCAGCACACGCTGTAGCTTCCATGCGTTCCGGAATGCTTCGACATTGCCCTACGATTCCTCTCAATCGCTTCGATTCAGCGAGGCGTGCTTCTACGCATCTGATTTCGTCTTTCAATCTCCGATTTTCCCCCTCTATCGACGATGTTTTCTCCTGACACATTTCTCATCTCGTTCCCGTCCTTCCTCTCTTTTCCGTTCCCTACCCCAACTTCCCTCCTCTACTCTCCTCTCCTCTCCTCTCCTCCATCCCCCCGCCAATCCAGGCTGAGCCATGTTCGGTTCGCGCCATCTCTCTTTCACCGATGCCTCCTCCCTCCTCTCCTCCACCGCCGATTCCGCCGCCGATTCCCCAGCCGGAGGACTCAACTCCCGCCGTCCCAGCTCCCCGCTACTTAGCGTCTCCAGCGAACCTGACATTGAGCACAGCGGCGGAGGCTCGGGGCAAGCCGGCCGCTCGAGCAGCTACGGGGGAGCGGGGGCTATGTCGGGGCTAAGTGCGGGGGGCATGGGGGGGGAGGCTCGGCGCGTGCGCACGCGCATGCCGCTGGAAAACCATGCGCCTGTGGCGCCTTCGGAAGGGGGAGTGGCGATTCTGCGCGGTAAGAGCCTAAGAGGACGTTTCAACTGGTGACCATCCCTTACTCGTGCTTTTCCGATCGCGTCGCGTTAGTTTTGTAAGATGGGGCACTAGGAACTGGGTCAGCTTACTTAATGGCTGTTAGGCCAGGCGGCAAAGGCGAAGACGACATGGCAAAATATAACACGATCCACCGTGCACGCCACTTTTCTTGTTAGGCATCAGTATTAATTGCGTCAACTCATGGCTTTCCTTCCCACCCTTCACCCCTCAAACTACCTCGCCTCGCCCCACAGGGTCACTGAACACGGACCTGTCGTCTCTATCCGCCGCGTCAGCGCTTCTTCCCTACACGCGCGACTTCATCTTTCCGGGGGAGCTGCTGCAGGTCGTCGTTCACAGGACGCCTATCGACCCCTTCACCCACCCCTCCTTCTCCGAACCTCCGCTTGCCGAGCTTCCCGGCGAGGCTCGGGACAGCAACGGGCAGCAGCCGTACCACCAGTCCATACCGTCCGGAGGCTCGGGAGCGGCGATAGGCGTGAGCGGAAGCGGTGGGGGAACGTGGGGGGAGGATGCGCGGTGGGGGGTGGGGATGCGCGCGGGGAAGGGGCGGATTGGGCGCTCGGGATTAGGGGGAGAGACTGGGAGCCCAGCTAAGGGGGGGGCAGGTCCTGAGGTAGATCATGGGATGGAGGGAGGTGGGGAAGGAGGGGAAGGCGAGGGATCCGCTGTGGTAGCTGCAGATGGGTTGAGTGCGGTAGGGGCGTTGAGCGGAGGAGGGAGGGTGAGCGTGGGAGGGAGGGAGGACGGGGAGGTGCGGCAGCAGAGGACGAGGGAGCTGCTGGAGATTGCACGGCGGTCGCTGTACGATGTGCACTTGAGCGAGCCCATCCCAGCCGCCTCACGGTAAGCTGCCTCGTCCTGTCTACCCATCTCCTCCCTCTCCAGTCCACTCATCCTCGCTCCCTCTCCCTTCCCCCACCCCCCCTCCCCCCCTCAACCCCTCCCTCTCCCTCAATCCGTTCTCCCTCACGTTATTCCCCCTTACTCAAACTCCCTCCCTCTTCCCCCCCCGTGTTCTCCCCATTCTCTCCATTCCCCATCAACCGTTTTCCTCCACCAGGCCACCCAACCAGCAGCAGCAGCAACAGCAGGCGGGGAGGGAGGCAGCGCAGTCCCCGAGTGCGTATGGGGTGATGCCAGTGCCAGCGGATATTGCAGGATACGACCCGGCCACAGCTGCAGGGCTGGGCAGGCGCGTTGTCTCCACCAGCTCGCTACCCAATGGGGACGTCGTGGTTCGTACTCCATCATCCCTCCCATGCCTCCCTCTTGTTCTCCCCATTCTTTCCATTCTCCTTCATCGTTTTCCGCTACCCAACAGGGACGCCGTGGTTCGTACCCCGTGCCTCCCATACCTCCCTCTTGTCCCCTCTCCTTCTCCCCATTCTTTTCATTGCTCATCAAACGCTTTCCTCTTCCCAGTGGGGATGTCGTGGCCTGTACTCCCATCCCTCCCATGCCGCCCATGCCGCCCATGCCTCTTCCATCACATCACCTTGCACACCCGTCCCATGCACCACAACAGGTGCTGCAAGAAGTGGCGGTGTCCACCACAGCCCTCATCCCAGATGCCACTTTCGAGATCCGCCAGTTCGAGCCGTCTCAAACCAGATATAATACCACCCGCACACTCCCCCTCTTACGCATCACCCATGGTCCCATGCATCACAACAGGTGCTGCTGGAAGTGGCAGTGTCCACCACAGCCCTCATCCCAGATGCCACTTTCGAGATCCGCCAGTTCGAGCCGTCTCAAACCAGATATAATACCACCCGCACACTCCCCCTCTTACGCATCACCCATGGTCCCATGCATCACAACAGGTGCTGCTGGAAGTGGCAGTGTCCACCACAGCCCTCATCCCAGATGCCACTTTCGAGATCCGCCAGTTCGAGCCGTCTCAAACCAGATATAATACCACCCGCACACTCCCCCTCTTACGCATCACCCATGGTCCCATGCATCACAACAGGTGCTGCTGGAAGTGGCAGTGTCCACCACAGCCCTCATCCCAGATGCCACTTTCGAGATCCGCCAGTTCGAGCCGTCTCAAACCAGATATAATACCACCCGCACACTCCCCCTCTTACGCATCACCCATGGTCCCATGCATCACAACAGGTGCTGCTGGAAGTGGCAGTGTCCACCACAGCCCTCATCTCCTTACTCTCTCATTTCCACTTTCATCACCCACGTTCCTCCCTCTCATCACCTTTCCACCACAACAGGTGCTGCTGGAAGTGGCAGTGTCCACCACAGCCCTCATCCCCGACGCCACTCTTGAGATCCGCCAGTTCGAGCGCTTCCCCATGCCCTTCGGGCCCCCCTCCGCCCCTCCACCCGCTCCTGCTCTTGCTGCTGCTGCTCCCCTCCCATGCATCACCCATCCATCATGGCAGGTGCTGCTGGAAGTTGCAGTGGCCAGTGTCCACCACAGCCCTCATCTCCTTACTCTCTCATTTCCACTTTCATCACCCACGTTCCTCCCTCTCATCACCTTTCCACCACAACAGGTGCTGCTGGAAGTGGCAGTGTCCACCACAGCCCTCATCCCCGACGCCACTCTTGAGATCCGCCAGTTCGAGCGCTTCCCCATGCCCTTCGGGCCCCCCTCCGCCCCTCCACCCACCCCTGCTCTTGCTGCTGCTGATGGCACTGCTGCTGCTGCTGGCGATGGTTCCGACGCTGCTGCTGCTTCTGCCGATGGTGGTTCTGCTCCTGGGTCTGAACACCACGAGAAATCCCTCTCTCCCATGCCTGCTGCTGCTGCCGGCGGCCGTGGTGTAGCAACAGCAGGAGCAGCAGCAGCAGCAGGAGGAGGAGGAGGAGGAGGAGCAGCAGCAGGAGGAGTATCAGGGTCCTTGGAAGAATCCCAAGATCTGCTCTTCTGGCTCTTCCCTTTGGAGCGCCTTCCTCCCAACTCCACCACTCCGTCCCCTGCTGCAGCAGCCAGACCCGCCATTCCTCTCCCTGCCGTCGCCACCTCTGGTTGGGGCACCCCATCCGCTTTCAATTTCACCTCTGCCGCTCCCCCGACCCCCTCGGTCGCCCCTAGCACGCCAGTCGGCTTCTCCCTCTCTCTCCCCCGCGTTTCCGCCTCCTCCTCCTCCGGCCTAGCAGCAGTCAGCGCTGCTGCCACAACAGGGAATTCCCCTTCCAATTCCCCCAAAAAACGCACCTCGTCAACGTTTCGAGACGACGGAGGTGGAGCGGGAGGCGGGGGAGGGGGGACGGTCTTGGGCGGGTTGGCATGGGGGACGCATGAGACGGGGGCGGTGGGATGGGAGGGGCTTCTCTCGTTCCGAGGGGTGCCTTTAGAGCCGCAGAGATTCAGTGGGAACTGCGGGCGGCTGGGGCCGTTTGTGCCTGGGAGGAAGTGGGTGCGGGGCGTGCGGGTGCTGCAGCCGCTGTGTGTGGAGAGTTATACAGCGGAGTGTGGGCATGAGGATGTGATCTGCGTCATGGTTGAGGTGAGTGCGTGTTTGTGATACTTAGTCTGTTATGGTGAGTCAGTGTGTTCGTTCAAGCGCCTCAATAGGTGTTGAGAGCTACACGGCAGAGTGTGGGCATGAGGATGTGATTTGCGTCATGATGGAGGTGAGTTCGTGTTTGTGATACTCAGTCCGTCACGTTCAGTCAGTCTCTCAATACGAGTGGAGAGCTACACGGCAGCATGTAGGCATGAGGATGTGATCTGCGTTATGGTTGAGGTGAGTCAGTGTTGACGTCTCATCCTGTCCCGTCCCGTCCCATCCCATCCTATTCTGGCCTTTCCGATTGAGAGTCCGCAGCCCATCCTGATCTAGATTCCTCTCCCCCTAAGATTCCCCTCCTCCCTCACCCCAACCCTTGCTCTCGTTCCAACCACCCATGTCAGCACATCTACCCCCCCCTCCTCTCCCACCCCGACCCCCCTCCCTCCCCTCCTCTACCATCATTACCATCATTTCTCCCCATGGCACGCCATCCTGCTTCTCTCTGCTCATCCCCCAGAACATCCTCCCGCGTGAGGGGGCGACAGCGGGCGTCGTTCTCTGCATCGGCCTGGAGTCGCGATCAAATCACCTTCTCTCTCCGCCCACAAGTGCCAACTCCCCCTGCCCTTTGCCACACACACCACCCCTCTCTTTCTCTCCTCATCTCCCTCCTCATCCCACAGAACATTCTCCCGCGCGAGGGAGCAACAGCGGGCGTCATCCTCTACGTCGCCAGCATCAGCCTGGAGGCGTGTTCCTGGAGGCGCGTTCCTGGAGGCGCGTTCCTGGAGGCGCGTTCCTGGAGGCGTGTTCCTGGAGGCGCGTTCCTGGAGGCGTGTTCCTGGAGGCGGCTCAAAGCAGCTATTCTTTCCACCCATGTCCACACATCCTCCCCTCCCTTCACACACCACCTCTCTCATCTCTCTACTCGCCTCGCAGAACATTCTCCCGCGTGAGGGAGCAACAGCGGGCGTGATTCTGTACGTGGACAGCATAAGTCTGGAGGCGCGCTCCTCAGTCTCCATGTCGCTGCAGCAGTCCCTCCCCGTGCACGTCGCCCGCCTCGAGAGCGGCTCCAGCAAGGAGGCCCTCCCGGGCCTGCCCCTCCGGTACGCAACTTTTCTAATTTGTTTCTGTGTGTGGGGAGAAGAGGAAGTGAAATGAGGTGGGGAGAGGGCAGCAGGGCGGACGCGTGGGTCACATCGGTGTGTTTCAAAACTCGCTCGGGGGGTTTGGAAGATTCTCAAGAGTTGCGGTGGTGCGACCTGCCAGGGTATGCATCAGCATGAGCATGAGCACCAGCATCAGTCTGGAGGCGCGCTCCTCAGTCTCCATGTCGCTGCAGCAGTCCCTCCCTGTGCACGTCGCCCGCCTCGAGAGCGGCTCCAGCAAGGAGGCCCTCCCAGGCCTGCCCCTCCGGTACGCGTGTGAGGGTGGGCTTGGTTGTTGTTTTCCAGCGTGTGTCTGTGTCGGTGTTTTTTTGGGCGTTCTTGCAGGAGGGGGGGTCAGGAAGGGGGGAGAGGGCGGTGGGTTTGTGTTTGAAGGGACCAGGAGATTCTTAAGAGTCGCGGTGCGGCCTGCCAGGGTACACAGCAGTCCCTCCCCGTGCACGTCGCCCGCGGCTCCAGCAAAGAGGCCCTCCCGGGCCTGTCCCTGCGGTACGGGGATGAGGGGTGTGCTCGGTCGTTTCTCTAGTGTGTGTCTGTGTGTGGTGGGTTTTTTGGGCTTTATTGGGTGGTACGGTTGTAGTGGGGAGAGGGCGGCAGGAAGAAGGAGTCGGTCGTGAGTGTATTGAGAAGGGCTCATGAGAGTGCTTTCAGGCATCTCCCTCCCGCGTTGCCTCCAAGCCCCAGCCCTCCTTTTCCTCCCCTAACCAGGCCGAGCGACCAGCATTCTTTCTTAGTCACCGCCTGTGTTCCAGCATCGCACAAACCATCAAGGCGCTCTCTCATCTCTCACCCGGCTTCTGACCCTTTCTTCCCTTCCCAAACCAGGCCGGGCGAGCAGCACTCCTTCATCATCACCCCACAGTGCTCCGGCAACACACAAATCGTCGTGAAGGCACTCAGAGCTCCCTCACTCTGCGTCCAACCCTCCCCTCCCTCCCTTCTCTTCCCAGACCAGGCCGGGCGAGCAGCACTCGTTCATCATCACCCCACAATGCTCCGGCAACGCACAGATCGTCAAGGCCCTCTCTCATCTCTTAGACATCCCTCCCTCTGCGTCCAACCCTCCCCTTCCTTCCTTCCTCCCTTCCTCCATTCAGGCCGGGCGAGCAGCACTCGTTCATCATCACCCCACAGTGCTCCGGCAACGCACAGATCGTCAAGGCCCCTTCCGGAGCAAACAAGGACGCAGGCGGGCGGGGCAGACGACCAGGCGGAGCAGGAGCAGGAGGAGGGAGCGCTAAAGGGGGCCCGCTATCAGGAGGGAACGAGGGCTCGAGCAACTCGCTTGCGGCAGCGTTTTCGTTTGGACGGTTGACGGAGAAGGCAGCGGTTTTGGAGGAGGAGTCGGAGGGGGAGGACATGCCGGTGGATTCTTCGCCAGAATATTCGCTCATCATCAGCTGCAGCTGCTCGCACACAGGTGCGGCTGGACTGCTGTTGTTGCGTTTGGGTGTGTTGTGTTTATTTGTCTCTGGACGGCAGTTGCTCGCACACAGGTGCGGCCGCACTGCTGTTGGCGCGTGCGTTTGGGTGCTCGTGTGTGTGTGTGTGTGTGTGTGTGTGTGTGTGTGTGTGTGTGTGTGTGTGTGTGTGTCTGGCTGGTGAGTGCAGTTGCTGAAACACAGGTCTGGCTGGATTGCAGCTGGTGCTTGTTTATGTGTTTCAAGTGTTCATCTCTTGTGGTTTATCTCCCCTCGTTGCTCATCGCTCGCTCGTCGTTGTTTCAAGAGTAGCTCGTGCGTCCGCAAAGCTTAAGAATACACGAAGCTCCTGCCCTTGTTCGTCTTCCACTTAGCTCAATTGCACCTTCTGGCCTATCCCACGCCATCCCATCACAACCCATGCCATCCCATCACAACCCATTTCATCCCATCCCATCCCATCCCATCCCATCCCATCCCATTCCACCCCTTCCCACCCCGCCCCACTCTCCACCCTTTCCCACCCCGCCCCTCCATCCAGCTGCCCAGCTGCGGTACCGCCACCCCCTCGCATGGCGCCCGCGGCCCCCTCGGGACCTGCTCCTCTCCATCTCCCCAGACAACATCTCCTGCTCCCCCACCTCCTCCACCTCCTCGTCTTCATCCTCACTCCTTCCTGCTTCCACAAATTCCACTGCTGCCTCCTCCTCTTCCTCCTCCTCTGCATCTGCCTCCTCGCATGTGCACACTCTCCCTGATGGCATGCTTGTTGCTGCTCCGCCCGCTTCTGGCCAGTGCTCTAGGCCTCTGGTCAGTGCCCACTGCTGCACTGTCTTTCACTCCACATTACGTTTGAACATGCTTGCGTTTCATCCTGCCTCTCATCTTGCTAAGGCCTTGTGACACCTTGCAGTGTAATTAAGGGATTATTGGGATTATTGGCAGGCATCCAGATCGTGTGTGAGAGAGTGACCACGCTCTCACAACCACACTGCTGACATGTAGGACATGTGGAATAACTGTCTTTTTCCTTTTCCGCCCTCCCTATTCCACATGTCCTACACTCTCTGCCGTTTTCCTCTGCCCTCGCTCCCCTCCATCCAGACCGTGCGAGTGCAAGTGACCAATCTCACAGCCTCAGACCTCAACCCCACCTTCTTTCTTCCCTTGCCTTTCCCTCTGCCTTCCCTCTCTGCCTTGCCTTTCTCTCTGCCTTTCCTCCCTCCCCTCATCCAGACCGTGCGAGTGCGAGTGACCAACCTCACGGCCTCGGATCTCAACCTCACGCTCCTCGCTCCCACCACTCTCGCTGCCACTTCCCTCTCTCGCGTCTGCTTCCCCACCTCCCCGCGCCACTCCTCCAATCTCCTCACTGCGGATCCCACCACCGATCCTTCGCTGCTGGGCCAGCAGCAGCCAGGGCAGGGGCAGGGGCAGGGGGGGGAGGAGGGGAGTGAGGACGAGGAGGGATTATCTCCTCCCATGTCGCCTCTACGGGTGTTCAAGTCGTCGTCCCTTGCTGCCACTCTGGTGTGTGGCTAGAGAAAATGGGTCGTATTTGTCTCACTTTCTTTCAAGTTCCTGGAATAACTGCAAGCTGGGGCTGCATGGGATAGGACTTCAAGTTGCTGCTGGTTTTGCAACGACTGTCTCTTATTCCTCCTTCTCCTGCTCAAATTTTATGTCCCTTCTCTTTCTCCCCTCCCTCCCCCTCCCCTCCTCTCCCCTCCCCCTTGCTGTCCCTTTTTCTCCCACCACCCTGTCTCTACCTCATCTGTCTTTCACTTGTTCCTTTATTACTCTGAGTGAGCCGTTTCTGTTTCCCCCCCTCTCTCCCTAACCTATTCAACTCCCACTTCCTTTCAGTTCGTTCCCACTTTTCAGTTCGTTTTCCATCTCATCATCCACCCCAACCCTTTCTCCCCCTCCACTTCTTTCCTTCCACATCTGCTTTTGAGGACCACACCACACCACCCACGCGCACCGCAACATAGTATCCCGAGGACCTCAAATCTCTCCTCTCCCTCTCGTTGTCCCCCTTCCCTCTCTTAGCCCCCTTTCCACTCTCTTGATCCCCCACTTCTCTCTTATCCTCCCTATCCCTTCTCCCCCTCACTCCCCGCCCCTTCCTCTCTCTCCAGGACCCCCCTGACGGCTCCAGATCACTCCTTCTCCCCGACTTCCTCTGAAACCACAAACCAACTTCCCCTCTCCTATCCCCCTTTCCCCTCAACCCCCCGTCGTCCTCTCTCTCCAGGACCCCCCTGACGGCTCCAGATCGCTCCTTCTCCCCGACTTCCTCTGAAACCACAAACCAACTTCCCCTCTCCTATCCCCCTTTCCCCTCAACCCCCCGTCGTCCTCTCTCTCCAGGACCCCCCTGACGGCTCCAGATCGCTCCTTCTCCCCGACTTCCTCTGAAACCACAAACCAACTTCCCCTCTCCTATCCCCCTTTCCCCTCAACCCCCCGTCGTCCTCTCTCTCCAGGACCCCCCTGACGGCTCCAGATCGCTCCTTCTCCCCGACTTCCTCTGAAACCACAAACCAACTTCTCCTCTCCTATCCCCCTTTCCCCTCAACCCCCCGTCGTCCTCTCTCTCCAGGACCCCCCTGACGGCTCCAGATCGCTCCTTCTCCCCGACTTCCTCTGAAACCACAAACCAACTTCCCCTCTCCTATCCCCCTTTCCCCTCAACCCCCCGTCGTCCTCTCTCTCCAGGACCCCCCTGACGGCTCCAGATCGCTCCTTCTCCCCGACTTCCTCTGAAACCACAAACCAACTTCCCCTCTCCTATCCCCCTTTCCCCTCAACCCCCCGTCGTCCTCTCTCTCCAGGACCCCCCTGACGGCTCCAGATCGCTCCTTCTCCCCGACTTCCTCTGAAACCACAAACCAACTTCCCCTCTCCTATCCCCCTTTCCCCTCAACCCCCCGTCGTCCTCTCTCTCCAGGACCCCCCTGACGGCTCCAGATCCTCCTTCTCCCCGACTTCCTCCGCAACCGTTCCCTCCACCCCAAGCCGCTCCCCTCGCTCTCCTCCAACTCCCCTCGCTCATCCCCCCTTTCCTCCTCTTCCCCCGCCTTGTCTCTCCCTTCCAGGACCCCCCTGATGGTTCCAGATCGCTCCTTCTTCCCGACTTCCTCCGCAGCCACCTTCTGAGGCGTCTCAAAAGCTACCCCCCGCCCTCCCTTACACTCCCCACCCCTTCCCCTTCCTCCAGGACCCCCCTGACGGCTCCAGATCGCTCCTTCTCCCCGACTTCCTCCGAAACCGCTCCCTCCACCCGAAGCCGCTCCCCTCGCTCACCTCCGACTCCTCAGCCACCAAACCTCAGGGCATCAGCAGCAGCGGCAGCATAGGCGAGGGGTCTGCTCAGAACCTGCCGGTTTCGGCTTCAGGATCAGGAGGAGGGGGAGGGGGAGCGGGAGCGGGAGGGGAGGGAGGGGAGAGGAGTGTGTCGGCAGCAGAGCTGGTGGCCATGCATGTGCCTCACAGGACGCACCTCTGGCTGCAGTCCGTCGTTCCCATGGGGTCAGCTTCTCCTCCCTTCACAGCTTCACTTTCCTTCACGTCGTTTCACCGAGACACCTCCCTTCACCTTCCCACGCGTCTCACTCTTCCCACTCTTCCGTTTCCACTCCCTTCTCTATCACTTCGCGAACCCCGCGCCCTCCCCACCCCTTCCGCAGCGTTCTCCGTCCTTGGCTCTCTCTTCCCCATTGTTGTCTCACTTGCGTGCTCTCCTTCCCATCCCGCCCTCGTTTTGCCATTCTTCTTTGCACTGGTCGCCCAGCCATCGCCTGGTGTTTCACTCTTGCTGCTGCACGCCCTCTCCGCTTGCGACCCCTCTCCATCCCCCTTGGTCTTTCCCCTCCGTGTGTGTTGCCTTTTTTCTCTTACCTTCTTGTCCCGTTGCTCCTGTCCCTTCCCTCTTCTTCCCTTCCCCTCACTTCCTTTCCCTTTCTCCCTTCCCTTCCCTTCCCTTCCCTTCGCTTCTCTCCTCCCTCCCCTTGTCTGCACCACTGCCAGCAAGGTGCCGGCGCTGGGCACATCGGAGGTGCGCTGTGAGCTCGTGCCCTTGGTGGATGGGCTGATCAATCTCGACACGCTGCACATAACCACCAAGCGACGAGGTACCCTCTCCCGTGCTGTCCCTCTACCCCTGCCTCTCATTCCAAACCCACGCCACCACCCACCCTCCCCCCTCCTCCCCGGCCCCCCATCTCTCACCCCTCCCCCCGCCATTCCCCCTCCCTATTCTCTTTCCTTCGCCCTCCCCTCTTCAGCTTTCTCCCTCCTTTTTCCATCTATCAACACCTAAATCTATATTTAGACTTATCAACCCGCGTTCAAGCACGTCAGCCTCATAACCCCCTCCTCCCCTTCCCTCCTTTCCCTCCTTTCCCTCCCTTCTTCCCCTCCTCTGCTCCTTTCCTCCCTCTCATCTCCCCCCCCCCCCTCCCCTCTTCTTTCCCTTCCCCCTCTCTCCTCCCACTCCCGTCCCTCTCCCCCCTCTTTCCCCCTCTCTTCTATCTCCTGCCGGCCCACAGACACGCTGTTCTTCCCTGAGCACCCACTCAAGATATACTGCCCTCCTGGCTTCTCGGCCAAGTCTGAATCTGCCTCCTCTCCTACAAAACACGCTCCACATGCCTCCACACCTGCTGCTCCTGCCGCTGCTGCCACTCCTGCCACTGCCACTGCTGCGCCCACTGCTGCTGCACCTGTTGCTGCGATTGCTAATGGAGGGGAACGTAGATCTTCACTTGCTGATGCTCCAGCTTCTGGTGGCGATGGTACAAGCAACGGTGGTTCCGATGGTGCTGAATCTGATGCTGTTTATGATGAGGTCTCGCGTTTGGACTGATAGCCTAGCCACTTAATTATCGGCAGTGTAAGTAGCTTTTGAATTGAATACTTGTTGGCAGTTTCTTCTCTTGACCGAGTGAGCAGCATCTGCCTGGTTATTCATTGTTTGTTGCACACATTCATGTCGTCTGCACTCTATCTGAAAGAGCTTATTTATTTCTGTAAACCGTAACATTTCGGGGTGATTCTGACAACCTTCGCGAATCTGGAACCACTACAAATAGTTCCAGAATTTCGTACCAGCAGACAAAGTGAGGCGTTGCGGCATGAACGAAGACTTGCGGCATTGTTAGCGACTCTTGGTGTTAGCGAATGTTACCATCTACTGCAATTTCAGCTTTGTGGGATGTCTACGCCGGAAATCCCCTGCGTCCCTTGATAATGAATGTGTGTATAGTTACGGTAGTTGCGATTTCTACTTGTCAATTTCGCTGTCACGCTGCAACGCCTCTCATTCAGTCACGCCTCCCGTTCAGTCCGCCTCCTGCTTGCTATAATGAATGTCCTCGTTACAGGCCCACCCGTAAGTTGACGTTGCCTCTCTTATGGCGTGGTGGTGCATGAGGCTCCTCGTTTCATGGAAGTCATAGGTGCAGCATGACATATGGCATGTTATGCATGACGTGGTGTGACGTGGCATGCGCGGCGTCTTGCTGTGACAAAGGGGTATATCATTTTTTTCCGGCATCGCTTAGTAGGAGTAACTCGGAGGAATTTGGTGCGCAGGGCGTGGGGAAGACTACGCTGATCATACGCGTTATGGAGCGAGTGAAAGAAGCCATTCCTTCTCTTACCCTCCGAGGGTTCACCACAGGTGATGTACATGATATACGTGTGGGTATCATACACCCCCATACAGCCCCCCATAAACCCTCATACGGCACACACACACCCTGATTCCAACCTCTTCCCACGCCACACACACCCCTTGTTGCCCCTCTCCAGAGGAGGTGCGGAGAGACGGCGAGCGTATCGGCTTCGATATAGTCACAATGGAGGGCGCGCGAGTGGCTCTCGCTCGTGTCTCCCCATCAGACTTCCCTTCTCCTCTCCACACCAGCACGGCAGTTGAAGAGGACAGGAGGAGCAGTGAGAGTGGGAGATGGGGGCGTGTAGGAAAGTATAGTGTAGATGTTGCTTCTGTTGACCTGCATGTGCTGCCACTGCTCTCCCTCGCCTCTGCGCCACCGCCATCCCTGCCCTCTTCCTCCCTCGCACCACCCCAGCCAACAGCCCCATACATAGAGTCACAATCACAATCACAATCACGGTCAGAATCACAATCCCCATCACCAGCAACTCCACCAGAAGCAGCATCTCGTGCCGATTTCAGCAGCAGCTGCAGCAGGGCACATGGCACGTTGTGGGTGGTGGATGAGATTGGGAAGATGGAGCTGCTATCCACCCGCTTTGCTGCTGCCGTCACTGCCCTGCTGGACGCGCCTTTGCCTCTCCTCGCCTCCATCCCTGTGCCTACGCACGGGAAAGACCTGCCCCAAGGTAGCATTCAATGTCTGACTGGCTATTGAGTCGACTAAAAACTCCTCTCCTCGCCTGCATCCCTGTGCCCACACACGGGAAAGACTTGCCCCAAGGTATGATATCGTGACTGACTGGCTCGTCATGCCACACTGCTGTTTTGTTTCTGACACGCCTTGAAAATCGCGTCATGAGGGGCCGTAGGAGCAGCTGGGGGGGGGGGGGGGGGTATGTCATTTTGTCAAGGCTCTTCGAATGTATGTAGCGTGTGGCAGAGGGCTGCTTTAAGGTACACTGTATAGCATGACCGATGAAGTAATTTATTGAGTGGCTTGCCATGTACTGTCACATGGAAGGACCATTCTTTGAAGGCTAAGAAAAGGTGATTCTTTAGAAGGAGGGGCTCCTGCTTTATCAGCCATCGTTCCAATAAAGACCATCCTTCTGCCACGCTTAAGGCCTTGCAAGTTTCCTGATCCATCCATCCCTGGTTCCCCTTGGCTTGTGCCCAAATGGGTCTAACTTGCCTGAAAATGGCTGTTTCACCTTCATTGTGGTGTTCACACCCAACTATGCAGACTCCCCTTTCCATTGCACGCACACTTGTGGACATTGCACAGCAGCAAAAATCACTCGCCCTCTCACCACCCACGTACCCTCCCGCCCGCTTCCCTGTGCGTCCCTACTTGTTGCTTCTACCTGTCCCCTGCCTCCTTGCAGTGGCTGCCATCCGTGCCCGTCCAGATGTTTTCATAGTGGAGGTGTCGCGCAGCAACAGGGACCGCTTGGTGCCATTGCTCACCGACCAACTACTTGCTCTCATCTGCTCCTCTGGAGGTGGAAGAAACTCCTAATCCACCTGTCAATGATTGACTTTTGTACATAAATCTTTGTTAATATATTGCAGTTGACCATGTGTGTTAGACCGGTTTTAAGTTCACACTGTGTGGGCGATCGAATGTGGATATGTTACACGCATGGGATCTTGCTCTCACAGCCTTGTTGAATATTTATTGTCAAATTTCCCTCCGCTTCCTTGTGAAGCTCCGTAGCGAGTATGCGAGCTGCCTTCCCCAACCTCGTCCTTATCTGTCTTCCGCCCCCGCCAACTTCCCCCGCCGTCTCCCCTCCGACTCCCCTCCCTCCTACTGTAGTGTGTCTCCAAGAGACCATTCCGTACAGTTTCCCCCTCCCTTGCCCCACAGCACCGTGTGGTACCGTAATCTATCTAGGGCACGTTCACCGTCTGTGTCACCTGGCTAACATCTACGGTTTATGTTCTGGTTCTCCATGGTCGAAAGAGGTGACGCATAAATGAGAGGTTCAAACAAAACATCGCACACCGTAACCAACCGCACTCAAAGTATCACGTATCCATTGGTGGGACATTCCTTACCTTACCTAATCCGCCCTTCTTTTTTTCTCCTCTGTAGTAACTCCCGCCGCATACGGTGGTAGGCTCCCTTCTAATCGACACGGGCGTTGCAGTGCCGTATCCTGGGTGTTGCGATATTTATATCCGTTTCGACCCTAAGACATCGCAACCTAAGGGGCAACGCATTTCTCTTATTTTTGCTCCCAAGGAGACGACGGTCTGTGATTCTCTCTATTCGCCGTACGACGGTCTGTGATTCTCTCTATTCGCCGCTGCCGCTGCCGCTGCCGCTGCCGCTGCCGCTGCCGCTGCCGCTGCTGCTGCAGCCGCTCTGTATCCTGCTGCAACAGCACGTAAACCTAATTCGCTGAGCGTTGTCTGACGCTAAACGGTGAACATTATCTGTCGGACGTAACCCTGAACGGATCGCGTTTGTGCAGTTTCAACAGCACGGAGCGCCGACCGTAGTACTCAAGCGACATAATGACGTGATGAGCGTTTGGTTACGATCGCCGTGATGACGTGGCGTGCGGCGGCGTTGTTACTCCGAAAGCGCCGCGACGCCGTGATCCGTTACTGACTTCCGCGCTAAGCGGGATATCTCAACCACAGCACGATGACCGACTGTTATATACGTATTATCTAGTTTGAACAGCGGCTGTCCGCCTTTGTTTTCCTCCCCCTACGATTCGGCCGAAGCGTCCAACCAATCACAAGGCGCCATGTATTCCATGTCGCGAATCTTAAACAGCGGTTCCACCGGCGGGAAACCCGCTAATGCTGGTGACGCGGCGCTCAGCGACAGGCCGGGGGGAAACGGCGGTGCTGGGGCTGGCGGAACCGCGGCGATCCTCATGGATTTCCGCGCGCCTTCCGCCGCAGCTCCGCCGGCCCCCGCGCACGATGCGCGCTCCTCGCGCCCCTCTTCCTCCGCTTCCGCCTCTTCGTCCGCCTCGTCTTCCCCCTCCTCCTTCACGCCTCCCTCCGGCCATCCCTCCGTATTTTCCGGCGGCGCTTCCGCCGCGCCTCCTGGCGGTTCTTCCGCCGAGCGCATCAGGTTAGATCTTATGCCCCCATCTCGCCACCCGTTTCCGCCTTCCGCGTTCTCCGCAGGAGGGGGCGGAGCGGGTGTGCGCGGGGGGCGCCACACCGCTTCGCTGGACCTGGAGCGCATGCGCGGTCTGGGGTTCGGGGGAGATGGCGCGGAAGGGGGAGCAGGCGCGGGGGCGCACGCGGGGGAAAAGCCATGGGGGAGAAGCATGAGCATGGTCCCCAGCCTAGGGCGCGCGGGTGCTGGGGGAAGCGGCTTCGGGGGGGGAGGCGTGGGGGGAACCATAGGGGGAAACTCCCCGGCGGGGGCTGGAGAGGGGACCGGGGGATTTTTTGGGGGAGTCCGCGGAGCCCTGCGCGCAGGGGCAGGGGGGAAGCCGTCCGCAGGCGGAGGGGGAGGGCCAGGGGCCACAAGTCAGAACGTTCAGCAGGCGGGGGGTCTTCCGCGCGCGGGGGGGAAGCGCGGAGGCGGAGGCGGAGGAGGGGAGGCATCGGGGATGGCTGAGGCGTCTTGCGAGTGGTATCGGAGGGAAGGGGGCGAAACCGTGGTTCTGCTGCCACGTCAGCCGTTGACCGACGCGCTGGTATTCGACGACCCTGCCACGTCAGACATCCGCGTGGACGTGTTCGCGCGCGACGGGTCGCTGCACGCGTCTATCGCCATGCACTCCCAGGTTCTAAGGGAGCAATCCGATTTCTTCTTTTCCGCTCTGCCGCGTCGCCCGTCCAGAGCAACAGGCACCGCTGCTCAGGGTGCCACCGCGGCTGCTGCTGCCGCCGCTGCGGGTGCGGGTGTAGGTGCTGGTGGTGGTGGTGGTAACCCGTCGCCTTCTTCCTTTTCTGCGTCGCACTCACCTCTTCCCCCCTCCCCGTCTCTCTCTCTTCGACCCCCCTGGGAGCACCAAGATAATTTTTCAGGAGAGGGGGGAGGAGGGGGTAGAAGGTCGTTAGAGCTGCTTGCACACAACCATCACCACTCTCACCAACACCCCCACCACCAGCAGCAGCACCAGCAGCACCAGCAGCACCAGCACCTGCCACAGCACCAGCCGCGCGGCTCCTTCCCCAACCACCCTCTCCCTTCCCCCTCCTCCTCCTCCTCTTCCTCCACCTCCACCACCCCCCGCTCACACCCCCTCCCTCCCTCCCACCCCCCCACTTCCTCCCACGCCTCCACTCCCTCACACCTTGGGCGTGTGTCTGTGAGGGTGAGCGACTTGGTCTCCCATCCTGAAGCCTATGTCTTCACCCTCCGTCTTTTCTATCACGAGCCGACCATTCTAGATGAAATCGTGGCCGTTGGATCCATCTGGCGTGTGCTCGACATGCTCGTCGCCGCTGCAGACCTCCAATTCCACGCTGCCACGTCAGCGTGCGTGGATTTTCTGGAATCCGTGCCGTGGAGCGAGGAGGAGCAGTTGGGAGTGGTGCGGCTGCTGTCAGTTCTTCAGCTGCCCGACGCCCGCCCGGTTTTGGACCGGCTGCCCGTGAAAAACCTTCTGGAAGAGGACGCAGTCACATCGGCGGTTCGCGCGCTTCTACAGAGGGGTTTATCTTGTAACGAAGCAGTCAGTGCAGAGGATGCTGCTGCTGCGGCAGCGGCTGCAGCCGAAGCTGCTGCTGTTCTTGCGGTCTCCTGCTCCTCGCCTCGTTCTTTCTCTTCTGGTTCAACTTCTACCCACGGGTTTAACTATGACGTGCCTCCTGTTTCTCCTCTCTCCATGGCCCATCATCTCCCATCCACCACTTTAGCTGCTGCCACTGCTGCTGCTGCTGCTGGCAATGCTGTCAGTGCTGGCCATTCGTTTTCCTTCTCTCCTCCCCTCCCCAAGCCACGAGGCCTCCCTCCCGCTTCTGCTTCTCACCCCCCTTCTCACGTTCCTCCCCACTCCTCCCACTCCCTCCACTCCTCCCACTCCCCTTTCCCCTCTTCCTCCTCCTCATCCGCCGCCCAAGCCTCTTCAGTCCCGAGCATCTGCCCTGGGGGCGGCGTGCGCGAGTGCAGGGAGGCGGTAACCGCGTTACTGCGTAACAACACGGCGCCGATGCTGAGCCGCCGCAGCAGGCGGGCGGTGCTGAAGCAGGCGTTTGTGGATCTGCTACAGGCCGTGTGGTCGCAGCAACAGGCGAAAAAAGCCGCCCGGCGCGCTGCCGCCCCGCTGCGACGAACCCGGTCGCTCAATCCCGAATCCTTGAATCCGGCAAAGGGGAGAGGAGGGCATGACTTTCCCAATTCTGTTTCCCTTCATGCTGACGCATTGCTGCCTGGTTCCAACCGTAGCAGTGGTAGTAGTAGCGGCGGGGGGAGCGGCAGGGGTGGAGGTGGTGGCATGGTAGCGGGTACAGAACGGGGAGGAAGGGTGGGAAGAGCAGAGGGCGAGGGGAGAGGAAGTGAGGGGAAAGGGAAGGCACGGGGAAGAGAGGCGGAGGGTGGGAGTGTTGGGAATACAGGTCGACGTGGGTTAACCCGCACGCGCTCACTCTTCCCCCCTCGCTCTCAGTCCAGCTTGGGGGGGGCAGCAGGCGGGGAAGGAGGGGGAAGGGGAGGGGAGGGAGGAGGGGGAGGGGAAGGGGGAGAGGAAAAGGGAGGAGGGAGGGGAGGGGGAGGGTTGGGAGGGTCAGCAGCAGGCAGAAAGACCAGAGAAGCAGGTGGAGGGAGGGGAAAAGAATTAGGAGAATTGGGAATGGCGGGAGAGAAAGAGACGGGATCGGGGGTCGGAGGTGGGGAAGAGGAAGAGAGGGACTGGCTTAGCATGCTCGTGCCGCCACCCCCTTCATCCCCTTCATTGCCTGATTCGGTATATGGAAAGGACGGGTCGCTGACGTGGCTTGTAGGTCTGATGCTAGAGCATGGATTGGCTGACGAGGTGTTCAAGTGGTTGGCGACAGATCATGAGTTTGTTGGGGAGGTTCTGAATTGGTGCCGGCAGCAGCAGCAGTGGAGAGAGGCTCGGGCCGAGGCTCGGCGGGCGGTTCGGCGGCTTGAGGCGAAGAGGCGGAGGGAGAAGGAGGGGAAAGGGGAGAAGGGTGGGGGGGATTGGGATGGGGTGGCAGGAAGGCAGGAGGGAGAGAAAGAGGGGAAGGGAGAGGAAGAGGGTAAGGCAGTAAGAACAGTGGCAGCAATGGGAGCAGTGAGAGGGAAGGATGGTGTGAGCAATGCTGGGAGGGGAGAGTATGGGTACGAAAGGCACGAGTCAGATTTGAACCAAGGAAGAAAGCCCAAGGCAGCAGCAGGACTAATAACATCATCATCATCAGCAGCAGCAGCAGCAGCAGCAACAGTAGCAGCAGACGCAGAACTACACATAGTGCAGGTGGCAGTGCTGGGCACAATGGGAGCGCTTGTGGCAAAGCGTCTCGTAGTGAACCCCGACCTGCGTGCCTCCTTTGCACGCCTGTGGCTGCGAGTCATGGCCCTCGCCTGCCACACCGTACCCAACCCCAACGCCGTGAAACCCTCCTGGAACACGCATGCGCCCTGGTGCCCCCGCTCCTCCTCCTCCCCCTCTTCCTCTTCCTTCTCCTCTTCCTCTGTCGCCTTCCCAGCCGCTGCCTCCTCCTCCTCGGTCTCCTTTGCTCCGCTGACCCCGCCTCTGTCTGTCACCGCGTCCTCCTCCCCATCCGGCCACATGCCAGTGGTTTCCCTCTCTCTCTCTGGCTCTGCCTCCCCCGGGATGGATTCCATTAGTGACTGGAACTCCCTCTCTCGCACCGCAACTGCTGCTGCCATCACTCGTTCCGGCAGCAGTGGTGGCGGCGTGACTATTTCTCCGCTTCTCGGCCCTGCGACTGCCGGGATTGGCCTCGGGGAAAGTGCAGCTGCAGGAGCAGCAGCAGGCATAGCAGCAGCAGGCGTAGCAGCAGCAGCAGCAGCAGCAGCAGCAGCAGCAGCAGCAGCAGCAGCAGCAGCAGCAGCAGCAGGAGCATCACCAGCAGCAGCAGCAGGGTTTCACGCGTCGCAGTCGCTGCTCGAGCCGTCCCCTTCAGGAGGCGCGGCGCCAGGGTCATTCCCAACAGCGGACCCAGGGTTCCGCATGTGCGGCGTTGAAATAGACTCGGAAGAGCGGGCCATTATGTTGTTTGGCTTTAACGAGCTGGTGCTGACCATGCCTGCTGCTGAGCAGCAGCAGCTGTACGGTATGTGGAGTAGAATGCGCGGCGGAAGCGGGGGAGGAGGAGGAGGAGGCAAGGGAGGAGGGGGAAAGGGAGAAGGACGGGGAGAAGGCGGGGATGGTGGAGGAACTGGGGGAGGAAGAGGGGGAGGAACACGAGGAGGGGGAGGAGGAGGAGCAGGTGTAGCAGTTGGGGGGGTGTATGGGCGTTTGGATGGTGGGCTAGCAGGGTCGGGAAGTGGAGATTCCGGTGGTGATGGGTGGGAAGGAAGGTGTTGCAAGGAGTGCGGAGAGGTGATGGGGAAAGAGGATGAGGAGGAGGAGGAAGGGACGTGGTTCTCATTGTCAGGGGCGTATAAGAAGTGGCTCACACGCCTGGGTCTACCGTTTTCGTCCAAGGATTACAACACGGAATTCTGAAGTGCATGTGTGCGGTGCGGTGCGATGCGGTGCCATGGAGTGTGGTGAGATGCGAGGGGATGCGATGCGGTGGCAGTGACGGACAGCTCTTGCTGTTCTGCCTGCTGCTGCAGCTCCTTGTGTTGCATCTGTAGCGGCTGCTACAGCCTTTTAACTCGAGAGAATTCCTATGATATAGAGAAGTAGGGAAGCTTCCACCTGGGGTATGGTGTGAGTGACAAAAAAGAAAAGAGGATGTGATGCCAAGCAGGATTTGAAGCGCGTCATCCCTTGATGACCCTCATGCTCCTCCTCGGAAGGGCGATGCTGATGGTGGATGCGTCATGGTCTTTGAGCCTTGCATCATGGATCATGATACATGCATGTCCCTGATGTGATACCTGGTGAGAGTTCCGTGGCTTTGGCTCAGGGAGTGATGAGTGCGTTTTTGGTTCTAGGGGCCAGCAGAAGTCCAAGATGAAGACGTGGGTGGTTAGTTAGGTTTAAGCGGTGCAAGCAATTAAGAAGAGTCGTTTGAGTCATTTTTCTTGAGAAGGATTTCTTGGCTAGACAGCATGGAGATGAAGAGATTGAAGCATTTGAAGGTTTAATATATTTAGTATCAAATGTGACCACATGATTTTGTATGATATTCCAAATTTTGTGTATGGTGGCTTAAATTCATGTGCTGACGAGATTACAGATACATCGCGTATGTTACGATAATCCTTGAGAGCACGCTGGATATTCGCTACAGGGTCACGCTACTTTTTGTGGCTAACGACCAGCTTCGTGCGCTCTCAAATCCGAGCCGAGCCTCTCAAGAGACTTTGCGGGCGAGACGTTTGACCCAAAACGCACCTCCCCAGCCCGTTCGGTTGCTCTCCAAACCAAGGTTGCTGTGGTGAACCGTCATTTGCGCGCCGAACGTGAAGGCAAATGTGGCACGTCTCACTGGTCAAGTAGCTATGTCTCCCGAGCCTTCTAGCCTCCCTTTGGCTTGGCACCGCGGCGGATGTTCGGGGCATGTGGCCATTACCCGCGTCGCAATTTCACTCTCACGAACCTCCTAATTCCACGACTCGAGTTGAATTCCCGCCAGGTTTTGCACGTTGCCCAATTCCACCTCATCGAGCGGCGGCACAATTTCTCGCATCGTGGTGAAGCGCATTCGACTTTCTCCAATCCGAGCCCACCCATACTAGGATGAGTCTTTTCGTACTTCGCGTTCCTATGCCTATGCCCAACTCTCGTAATAGTCTCCGCTTGCGTGTCTAGCTATTCACACGTCAGCCCCCAGGCATCCACCCTCCCTTCCTCCCGAGGCGTGCGTAACGCACGGCATCGCGCGCTTGTGCCATCCCTTGACTATGCTCCCCTACTGCCGGTGAACAAACGCATCCATGCTCGTCGCTTTTGACTCTCGGCGATCCACTATCCACCATAACTTCTCGCCTCGGCCTCATGCCTTTCATGTCACTTTCAACTAATCACCACCACCCTAACTTAGCGAGCAGTTAGGGTTCATACTATCATACTAACTCCCTCGATCTAGAATCGGCTCGTGAAGTACGCGCCGCTTAACTAACTCGTTCAAATTTCGGGCCTCCTCTTGTGGCAAACCCGTCTATGCTAGGTCGAAATTTAAGAGCCGGCCGTTTGTGCGGTTCTGGCGACAAAGCCATGGCAATGCGATGCGCGTCGATGCGCAACCTTCTCTTACTCGCGGCGCTGTGTGTTAGCAGCGGCATATGGGGCTTGACTGCGCGGGTTGAAGCCGCCACCACTCCGACAGAGAGTAAGTGCGGCGTGCAGCGCTCGCAACAGTTATCCGCTTTCACGCGACTGAATCGTAGCTTCCATACTGGAAGGGGTCTCCTGGTTCGATAATCCATGATAGTTGCTGCCGGGCAGATGCGCAAGCAGCGGTTTGAAAGGGAGGGTTTGCGAGGGTCTCCAGCGCACTCTAACAGACTCCGCTTGTCTGCAGCGTCTAAGCGTCTTTCTGTGCCGCGAGCGAGAGTCCACAATTTAGTAGTCGAAACGAGACTGACTAGAACCAAACCGATTTCTCAAATAAGCGCCTGTCGTCGCCGTGTTACTGTGGTTGAGGCAACTTTGATTTTCCGATGGCATAGGAACTTAGAGCGGGCTCGTTGCTGTGTTAAGTGTGGTGCTTTCGTGGTCGTCGATTACCAGGAGCCAAATCGTGTTTTTTTCACTGCGTTTCCATTCCTGGTCCGTGCCTGTCTTTTCACGGCTGATTCAATACCCCTCCTCAGCGCGTCCGCTCCACTACCCGCGTCTCTCTTCTTACTCTCTTCCCTCCTTCCATCCCGTCTCCCTATGATGCCTGCTCCGGTGCACCCTCAGACGCGGCCCTGCTGGGCATGAAGGCGTTTATGAGTCCTGCGACGCTGTTCGCCAGCTGGAAGGGCGACGCGTGCGACGACAAGTGGATGGGGATCATCTGCTCCACGACCACGCCGCAACATGTCGTCGGCTTGTGAGTGCCATGGATGGCGTGGGTGCGCGTAATGGCATGGCATGTGGGTGCGTGATGATAACCTGCATTTCTAGTATCCACCGATATAAACCGCCATTCTCTCTGTTTCTCACGTTCTCACCCACTCTCTTTCCCTCCGCCTTCCTCTTGTACTCTCGTGTGCGAGCGCAGCAACCTGGAGTCTCTCGGGGTGAAGGGCCTGCTGTCGAAGCACATTGCGTGGCTGCCCTTCCTGCAGATCCTGTACGTACCGCGCGGCATTCGCTGCACCTCCAGACGCCGTGTATCATATGCGAATGGCGCTTCACCCCCCATGCCACACGCGCGTCATCTCCCATGCCGTATGCTCGCCATGCCGCCGTAGTCGCATTGTCGTTTCTCCAGCAGCCCTGCACTCCCTCTCGCGCCGTCCGAACTCTACCTTTCGTTCTAACATTGTTGCGTTCCCCTCTTCCCGTGATCCGTATTCCAACACCACGTCAAGGCTCTCCTTTCCGTCAACTGCCCTCATCACCTTTGCTCTACGCCCTTCTCACCTCTCCTTCCCTGCTCAACCCTCACCTCTCCCTGCTTCCGTCCGCTCTCCATACCCTTTCGCCTCCGTCTCCCTGCTACACAGTAATCTGCAGGACAACCAGTTCGCAGGCGAGTTGCCCAAGGAGATCGGCACGCTCAAGTTCCTCGAACACATGTGAGCCGTCTCACGCCTCTACCTCTGCTTCCGCTGCTGCCCGAGACGTGTTGTGCCTTCCCACGCTGCGCCTTGCGCCAAATTGCTTTGCTCATGCTGTCATCCTTGCACGCGTCTCCTTACAGTCTGCTTGTTCGTCTGCCTGACCTCGCCTCCTCACTGGTTACCTTTCTCCACTTCCTCTTCTCATCCACTTTCGTTTTCTCCCCTTACTTTTCCTCTTCCTTCCAGTGACGTGCGTCTGAATAAGTTCACTGGTCCGTTTCCTGATACCACGGCCTGCACCAACCTGCAATATGTGTAAGCAGTTTAGTTCTATCAGCTCTGGCATATCTTGCCGTTTCCTCATCAATCAAGATTGAGACACAATCAAGACGTTTCCTTCTCGTAGAGCTCGGCATTTCTCAAGACATTGTTCCCGATATTAATATTTTATTTTATAGGCAAGCCGTGCACTTCGCATTAATTTCCCCGCGCTCATACCCGTCCCCCTTCTCCTGCCTGCCTTCACGCCAGTGAACTCTCCAAGAATGACTTCAAGGGCTCTTTTCCGGAGTCCCTACTTGGACATGACAAGATCATCTACATGTAAGCTGCTGAAATGTAATTTCTGCTATCGTTTTTAACATTGCCATAATTGTGAGTAGTTACTCGCTAATGAATTTTCTGCAAAGTAACACTGCTGGTAACGCATTATCGCCATTCTGTCATCCACAGCGTGCCAGGATATAGCGGCCCGTCGCAAGCCATCGTTTCTGCTTGCGCCCATAACTCCTTCCCCCTCTTTCCCCCTTCCCTCTCAACTCTCCTTCCCCATGACAGTGGCATGGCGGGCAATTCTTTCCGCGGACCCCTTCCGCTGGACTTTTCGGGCCTCAAATCGCTCACGCACATGTGAGTTCGCAGTCCTATTTCGCCAACCTCCCTTAATCGCACATTTTGCTGTAACGAACTATTTCGTTTCTTTTCTTGGCCTGTTACACTGTACTGGCGTCGACGCCTGGTTCGCAAACTTCCACCCTCACGTTCTCGACTGGTTAATCGCGTGTCTTCGCGTGACTTCGGTGTGTTGCTGTGGTTACAGATCAATCGCGGACAACAAATTCAACGGCACCCTTCCCGAGAGTATCGGCGCGCTGCCCAACATTGAAGCCGTCGACGTCAGCAAGAATAACTTCGCTGGCGCCGTGCCGACTACTTACCAGAGCATCCAGAAACTCAAGGTCAAGGGGAACCCTAAACTCGCGGGCGGCAAAGCCGGCGAGGGCGGAGGAAAGAAGGGGGGAAAGAAGGGTCGCAAGCGCGGCAAACACGGCAAGCACGGCAAGCATGGAAAGGGTGACGCCCCCGGTTCCGCCGCCGCGCCTTCTTCCGAACCCAGCCCCGCCGCACCTCCCTCCGAAGCCCTCCCGTCCGAGCCTGCAGTCCCCCTGCCCCCAACGAAGCCCGTCGTGAAGCCCCCGAAGCCCGGTGGAGTCGCTCCGCTCCCCGACCCCACCGAGCAGCCCACCGCGCCCGGGTCCCTCCCCGCGCCCGTCGTCCGGCCGCCCGTGGTGAAACCCCCCGTCGTGAAGCCGCCCGTTGTCAAGCCACCCGTTATCAAGCCACCCGTTATCAAGCCCCCTGTTGTAAAGCCCCCTGTCGTCAAGCCTCCCGTCGTTACCCCTCCCGTCGTCAAGCCGCCGGTCGTCAAGCCCCCCGTGGTTACCCCCCCCGTGGTTACGCCTCCCGTCGTTATTCCCCCCGTCGCGGAGCCGTCTCTGCCGTCCGCGCCGGAGCTTCCCCCCGCGCCGGCAACGGAGTGCGACACGTGCAACCTGAACCAGGTGGCGTGGCGTCCGATGGCGGACGACAGCACGAGCGCGAACCCGAAGCTGAGCAGCAACGCGTCGGCTTGCGTTTGCGTGTATCCTCTGCGCTTCCGCCTGCACATGAGCATGAATTACGCGGGCTTCGACGAAAAGAAGCAGCGGGTAAGCTTGTGAAACGGCAGGGTGAGTTAAGATGAGGTTTGGGTTCCACGGTGTCAGCTAGAGTACTCATCCCCTCTCGGTGTAGTTCAGTCGACTCAGTAACCATATCTTCCTTTCCCTTTCTTTCCCCACCCTCCACCGCCCTCCCCCCTCCCTCTCCCCCTCCCTCTCCCTTCCCCCCTCCCTGACCTCGCCCGCCTTATCCGTGACTTGCGCCCCCCCGTCCCCCGCCTCTTCCCTTTTTCCCCCGACCCCGCGCCCCCTCCCCACCACCCCGCAGGACCTGGAGATGCAGCTAGCGGACGACTTAATCGTCAACTACGGCCAGGTGCGCCTTCTCTCGTCGCGACCCGGCAGCGTCGTGGCGGATCTCGCGCTGGGCCCCGAGACGCCCGCGACAACGCTGCAGCCGGCGGTCGTGGAGCGCGTGCTCGCGCTGCTGCGCAACAACCAGCTCTCGCTCACGGGATTTGGATTCGTTGAGGTCACGCTCGTCGAGCCGCCCTCAGAGCTGCTGCTCCCTGCGCGTGAGTGCCGCCGGTTGGGTACGGTCGAGTTCGGCCGGGGGTTAGGTTGGGTTCGGTGGGGTTGCGTTGGTCACGCTCCGTCTTTTCCGTCGTATGGTCATTCGTCCTGTTCCCTTGCTCCCCTTGTTTCCCTCTCCGCACCCGTTCCCCCCCGCTCCTTCTAACTCCTCTTCCCTCCCCTCCCCTTTCTTCCAGCCACGAATCAAACTACCCCCGATCAGGCAACCACTGAGGAGAGCAGCGGCGGATGGTCCGCAGCGGCGATCGCGGGCGTGATAGTCGGCGCGGTGCTGGTCGTGGCGCTCATCTTCCTCGTCGTCGTGCTCGTGCGCTGCCGCCCGCGCCGCTCCAGCGGAAGCAAGAAGAGCAGCAAGAAGGGCGGCTCGAGCAAGCGCGTGTCGGCCACGTCGGTGGTTACCGCGTCGTCCGCCGCGCATCATGTCCACTCCGCGGGGAAGCCGCCGATGCACATGCAATGTGAGTCGAGTCGCACGTTAAAGCCCGCAACTCGCAGTCCTAATTCCCCGATCGTCTGTTATCTTTCGACTAGACCAGACTCTCCATTCGCAGACCTAATCCCCCGATCTACCCTCCACCCTCCGTCTCCTGTTTCGTGTAACCACCCCGCTTCTTCCTCGCGCTTCTCCCTCCCCTTTCCCCTTTCCGCCTTTCCCTTTTCCCAATCTCCTCTCTTCCTTTCCCCTCCCCCAACCTCCTCCCCTTCCCCCCTCTCCAGCATGGTCCAACAATTCCGCGCGCGCCCACCCGCCACCCGGCGCATCCTCCGCATCCCTCGCCGCCGCTGCCGCCGCCGCCGCCGCGGGCGGCCACGGCAACAACACCCCCGGCGGATCCACGCGCCGCGTGCCAGGCGTCGTCGTCCTCACCCTAGCAGAGCTCCAAATGGCAACGGATAACTTCTCGTCGGATCGCTCCGTGAATTCCGACCCGCTGGGAACCACGTTCGTCGGGACGCTCCCGAGCGGGCAGGAAATCGCCGTGAAGCGCGTCGAGCCGAGCGTCGTCGAGGGCCAATCGGACGACGATTTCGTCGCGGTCGCGTCGAACATGGCGCGGTTGAAGCACCCGAATGTCGTGCAGCTTCAGGGGTACTGCGTGGATTACGGGGAGAGGGTGCTGGTGTTCGAGCACTACCCGCACGGATCGCTGTTCGACCAGCTGCACGGGAACAGCAAGGTGCCGGGTGCTGCGGAGCCGTCGCAGCACATGACGTGGGCTGTGCGCATCGACATCGCGATTGCCACTGCGCGCGCGCTTGTGTGAGTTGACTGGCGCCGAAATGTGTTGTTGTGGGTTGGGTTGTGTTGCGGTTAATTGTGCCGCGAGGTTCCAACTTGTCCCGCACTCCCCCTTGTATCTTGAACATCTCATCATGCAACTTGCCTCTTCCCCCCCTGCTCCCTCCCCCTCAGCTACCTGCACGAGGAGTGTGTGCCGTCCATCATCCACCGCAACATCTCATCGCGCAACATTCTACTTGACAAGCGCCTCAAGGCGCGCGTTGCTGGCGCCGGCCTCTCCTTCCTCAACCCCGTGGGCGCTGATGACAAGGTGAGAGGGAGGAGGGGGAACAAGGGGGGGGGAATTGAGGGAGGAGGGGGAGAGCACACTATGCTGCTGTTGTTGCTGCTTGGCCTACATTTAGCTGTCTTGGCTTTGCTGTGCGTTGCTTGCTCTGGCCTCCTTCCTAAACCCCCTTTTCCTGCCTCCCCCCCTCCCCCTTCCCCTGTCCCCTTGAATTCCCGCAGTCACTGTCGGACCAGCTGGTGGGTGGCTTTGCATACAATGCGCCCGAGTATGCCATGTCAGGCATCTACACGGCCAAGAGCGACGTCTACAGCTTCGGTGTTGTGCTGCTCGAGCTCCTCACAGGCCGCAAGCCTGTTGACCCGTACGTGCTACTGCTGCTTCTGCTCTGTTTCTTCCTGCTGCCAAACCCACCCTTGTTTTTTTCCGCTAATGGCATTGGCACACACCAGCACCACCTCCCCCCCCACCCCCCCCTCCGCCCTTCAATTCCCCCCCTTTTCCCCACCAATTCTGCCATTCCACTCAAATCCTCTTTCTGCTCCCTCTGCTCTCTGCACAGCTCCAAGCCCAAGCCCGAGTCCTCCCTGGTGCGGTGGGCGGCGCCTCTGCTGCACAACCCCCAGGAGCTCGAGTCCATTCTCGACACCAAGATCGCCGGGCCTCTTCCCGACGCTGCCAGGCTCGCTGCTTTCGCTGAAGTTATCACACGCTGCATCCAGGTAAGAGGAACCAAGCAATCGATGCCGCATGCCGTTTTCATATGCATGGGCTCACCTTCTACCACCTCTTCCTCTGCTGCTGTTGCACTCACCCCGTTTCCCTTCTTTCCCCCCCCACTCCCATAAACAGCTGGAGCCAGAGTTCCGTCCGAGCATGTCCAAGATTGTGAGCGACCTCAACCACAAGGTGAAGACGGCTTATCAGTCAGTCACTCACAAGTCACCACTCCCCTTCCGCTCCCTCCCTTCCCCTCAAACCCCAACCCCTTAACAGCCGGAGCCCGAGTTCCGTCCGAGCATGTCCAAGATTGTGAGCGACCTCAACCACAAGGTGAAGGTGCTCCAGCCGGGCAGCTCACGCCACCGTGCCGGCTCCGCCTCCCCTGCCTCGTCCCTCAACGGCTCTCTGGCCGGCTCAGTTCACTAAGGGGCGCTGCTGCTACTGCTTCTGCTGCTGCTGCTGCTGCTGCACCAGCAGATGTAGCATGCATGGTGTTGGTGCTGGCGGGTTGCGTGTGTGATGATGACAGTGACGAAGAGGACAGTGACAAAGAGAGAGTAGGGCTGGACTGCTAGTTGCCAAGTGTATGAAGATGCTATTCTTACAGAGCATTAGGGCATCCTAGGTGGTGGAAAATAAATAATTGTCTTGGTTAGGACGAGGTACTTTGTTTAGTTCGGTAGTAGAAAGGGTGATTGTGTATTACAACATGTGATGTGAGCCTAGATTGGTTTTGTGGCAATTATTGCTGAAGAATTCTCAGAAAGGAGATTTAGATTCAGATGAGCCTAAATAAGGAAGTGCAAATTCAGATTCAGATAAGCCTAAATAAGCAATTGCAAATTCCGATTGTTTTTTGCTTCATTCTCGTAACGGGGGATGTCATACAATGCCCTCGATATTCGCTTGCCTCTAACTTCACTCCCCAACCCGTCACATCAGTTGTTCAGGGAAAGCGGATTCACCGTGGGGTGACCATGTCCGCTTTTCCCGCCATCGTGCTGGATTCCGACAGTGACGATGACTCACGGCCGGTAACGAACAACGGAATTTCGCTAACGTCCCATCGTCCTGTCGCCGTTGCGTCGGACCTCCGTGCGTGTAGGCAGGAAGAGACGAGGCAGCGAGAGAGTGTCAGGCAGGACGAGAAGCAGCGGGAAAAGAGTTTCACGCAGAATGGGAGGAGGCAGGCGGGACAGAGGGATTGTGGCGTGGGAGCGGAAACGACGAGCCGTCCGTTGGAAGCAGCAGCAGCAGCGCGCGTCGTCGAGCCTCGTTCGCGGACGCTTGAGCCCATCGATCTGGACGAAATCGACGGCTCTCCTTTGCCGCCGCCGCGCCCCACCGCGTTGGATCCGACGGCGGGTGGGAATAATCGTGACCGTCCGATTGCTCGGCGATTGACGGCAGAGGATGATGTCTTGGTGGTGGGAGTGGGAGTGGGAGTGGGAGTGGGAGTGGGAGTGGGAGTGGGAGTGGGAGTGGGAGTGGTAGTGGGAGTGGGAGTGGGAGTGGGAGTGGGAGTGGGAGTGGAATTGGGGAGGCAGAAGCGGAGGCGGGTTGAGGGGAGCAGAGTATGCGCCGCGAAGCTGAATGGTGACTTGTATTGTCCAAATACAGTGAATGATTCGGGTGACGTGGATGGTTTGAATGGCGTGGATCTGGACAGGCTACGCGAAAGGAGAAATGACAGGACTCAGCAGCAGCAGCAGCACCAGCAGCACGGGCAGCAGCAGGGGCAGCAGCAGGGGCAGCAGCAGGGGCAGCAGAAGCAGAAGCAGCCGGAGCAGGTTGAAGAAGAAGTGGGATTCACAGGAACTCCGTTGAAACGAGCAGAGAGAGAGAACGACGAGCTAGCAGCCAATCTGTGGTGTCGATTGCAAGCATCCTCCTCTGCTACTGCTGCTGCTGCTGCTACTGCAGTCACTGCCACTACTGGGGCTCCTGCTGTTACTGTCGCCACTGCTACTGCCGCTGCTGCTGTTGCCGCTGTCACTGCTGCTGCTGCTGCTGCTGCCGCTTCTGCAATTTCATCTGCTCCATACTCTTCCCAGCTGCTGTCCACCCATGCCACCCGTGCCACTGCGCCCACCCACGTTCGTCGTCCTCTTATTGCCCCTCCTGCTGCTCTTCCTGCTGCACTTCCTCCTGCTCCTGCTGCTGCTCCTGCTGCTCCTCCTCCTGCTGCGCTTGCTGCTGCTCCTGCCGATCCTCCTCCTCCTGGAAATGCAGGGCATGTAAGGGAAGTGATATTAAACGACACTACCAGACAAGACAGTCAAGGCAGTCAAGGGAGTCAAGGCGCTGTAGGGGAGGCGATGCTTCAAGGGTCGGGCAGCGCTGGGGGTGGTGCAGGGCGTGTGTATGAGATCAGCAGCAGCGCGAGCAGTCAAGGCAGTCAAGGGAGTCAAGAAAGTCAAGAATGGCAAGACAGAAGAGAGAGCAGAGAAAAGAAGGAGGGGGAGAAGAGGAATGACTGTGGAGATAAAGTGGACGAGAGACTGTGGGTTGATAGTAGTCAGGGGTTGACACTTAGCAGCAGCAGTGGGAGCAGCAGCAGGAGTAGCAGACGCAGCAGCAGCAGGAGTAGCAGACGCAGCAGCAGCAGCAGCAGTAGTGCCAGCAGCAGCAGCAGTGGAAGCGAATCGTCTGACTGTGCTGTGTTATTCGAGAGCAGGGGAGCGAGCAGGGGAGGGAGCATGGGAGGCAGCAGGGGAGGAGGAGCAAGCACGGTGCAGCGGTCTGAGGCGTGTGGAAGAACAGGGGGGAAGAGCCCTCTGTGGGTGGACGAGTTGCGAGATGGCGTGACGTTGGGGGAAGATGTTGAGGGGAGATATGATGTGGCATGTGGGGACAGCGAGGAGTGGTGGGGAGGTGAGGGGTGGAGGGGAGGAGAGGAGAGAAGGGGGGGAGAGGAGGGGAGGGTAGGAGTGAGTGAGTGTGGAGAAGGAAGAGCAGGGCTTGAGGGGAATGCAGATGGGCGGATGGAGAGCGGTGCAGGTGGGTGGAGAGAAAGAGAGAATTTGCCACGATGGGAGGAGGAGATCCCGGAGGGTGGTGAGGGGTTGAGTGCGGTGCCTGTCATTGGTGGCAGGAGTGGGGCTGGCAGGAGTGGCAGAGACGAAAGCAACGTGGAGGCCCCTCAAAAGGGTGGCAGGAGAGGGAGGAATGGCAGCAGCAGTGGCGCCAATAAGGGCGCAGCAGAGAGTGAGAGCATGAGAAGGAAAGAGATGGAGCGAGGGAAGAGGGAAGCAGAGAGGGAGAGGAAGAAGCAGGAAAAGGCTGCGCTGGCCGAAGAGAAGAAGAGAAAGAAGCAGGTAGGTACTCTTGTAAAACTGCCGCCTCTCGTTATAACATGCTGTGGTGTTTAGCTTCGAAGCATGTTGCCATTTCCCAACTATATGTTGCAGCACGTTCAAGGTGACTTTTGAGTCGACTCAAAATGACTTTTGAGGTGACTTTTGAGTCGACTCAAAAGTCAGCATGTTGCCATTTCCCAACTATATGTTGCAGCACGTTCAAGCATCACATGGAGTTGCAGCACATCAATGGAAATGGCACCCATCTCTCTTTGTCTGTTCATGGGGTGTAACTTAACTCAATTTTCCATCTCTCGTCGTCTAACCCCTCCCCTACCTGCCCGTCTTCACTTTGTGTGCCTGTTTCTTTCTGCATATTCCATCATCTCCTTTTGCGTCCTCATCGTTTCCCTCGGGGCGTGCAGGAGGAGAGGTTGGGCAGGGAGAGGGCACAGAGGGAGGTGCAGGAGAGAAGGGGGGTGGTCCGGGAGGTGGAGGGGTGGGAGAAGGGCCGCGATGCTGTGAGCAAGGCCACCACACTCATTGATGACCGATTGCCCAAAGACGCTTTAGGTACGTGCGTGCGTGGATGCATGCATTTTATAATCCTTTTGGGATTCTCAGAAGGGGCGCGATGCTGTGAGCGAGGCCACCACACTCATTGATGATCGATTGCCCGAAGATGCTCTGTGTGCGTGCATGCTTGTTCTGTGCATGTATAGGCGGTGCTTCGTTTTTCTATTCTGTGTACATGTGGTTCTATTTGTCTCTAGAGGCCGCTCAAAGTCCTATCTCTCTGCCCAGCAACAGGATGTCTTCGCCTCAAGTGGACGACAGGAATGTACGCGTACTCCGTGATTCCGATTGAAGCGCTGCTCCGCCACGTCCATGTGGTGAAGGCATTCCACCTGGACAGTACCTATCTCCTTAATAAGTATCAAATGTGATGCATTTATCTTGTACAACTTCCCCCTTCCCTCTCCACCCCCATTTCCTCTTCACAACCCCCCCTCCATCTCCCCCACTCCCCCTCACTTTCGCCCTTCCTCTCCCTGTCCTCTCACACCCACACCCCCCCCCCCCCCCCCCCCCCCCCCCCCCGACCCCCCCCACCTTTCTCCCCGCGCGCAGCAGCGTTAGAACGCACACTCTCCGATCGCAGCTATCCCTTCACCATCACTCGTAACCCCGTGCCTGCCTCCGTGCTCTGGATTCTCAGCGTTCCTCGCCTGCTGCCTCCTCCTGCTGTTGCGGCTTCTGCTGCTCAACCGTTGACCACCGCTGCCGCTGCCGCTGCTGCCTCCTCTGTTTCCACAGCAGCTGCTGCTTTTGCCACTGCTAGTGATTTTGCTGCCGCTGATGGAGGCAGGCAGGGAGAGGCAGCGAGGGAAGGGAATGGAGGGGCACAGCCACACCAGAGAAGTCTAGGCAGGGCTCAGGTGAGTGAGACCGTGAGAGCGATAATTGCTGTCACAATCCGGTGCTTTCAGGTGCTTTCAGGTGCTTTCAGGTGCTTTCAGGTTCTTGCTTCCTTCACTCTGTGCCCTCGCATATCATCCTCGTGCCGTGCCCCACCATTAACCCTTCATCTCTCTACTTCGCTCTCTCTCTCTCCCCCCTTTCTCCCCACCTCTGTCTCGAGTGCAGCTGTGCATTCGCCAGCAGTGGGCGGCAGGCATGGTGGTGGTGATGGGCGGGGAGTGCCTGGTGGATCTGCTACAGAGAGGCGTGCTCTGGTGGGAGACATCCCCTCTGCTCCATGCCTTGGACAAACAACAACACCCCCCCCCTCACACGCCAACCTCCTGCCTTGCCGTTCCATTGTCCTTCTCCCTCTCCCTCTTCTTCTCTTCCTCTATTTCTCTCTCGTGCAGCTGTGCATACGGCAGCAGTGGGCGGCAGGCATGGTGGTGGTGATGGGCGGGGAGTGCCTGGTGGATCTGCTTCAGAGAGGCCTGCTCTGGTGGGAGGCTCACGTAATCTCGCCTCTGCTGCACGCCTTGGACCGACAGCAACACCTGCCCACGCCGCCAACGGCAACCCAGCAGCAGCAGCAACAGCAGCAGAATCACCACCAACATCACCAGCACCAGCACCAGCACCAGCAGCAGCAGCAGCAGCACCACTACCACCATCATTCCCAGCAACAGCAGCAGCAGCAGCAGCAGCAGCGGGACCCAAATGGAACCGGAGAGGTGGCAAAGGAAGGGAGGAGCGAGGGGAGGGTGGTGCTGCTCGTGTGTGGGTTGGGGCGGTACCTGAAGCAGAGGGAGCAGCGCGCTCAGAGAGGCAAGGAGTCATGGAAGGAACCTGCTGTGGAGCAAGTGAGAGCACAGAGGTGCATGGGTGGGGGGAGAGGTGTCTATGAGTGAGGTGCATGAGTGAGGTGCATGGGTGGGGGGAGAGGTTTCTATGAGTGAGGTGCATGGGTGGGGGGAGAGGTGTCTATGAGTGAGGTGCATGGGTGGGGGGAGAGGTGTCTATGAGTGAGGTGCATGGGTGGGGGGAGAGGTGTCTATGAGTGAGGTGCATGGGTGGGGAGAGATGGGGGCTTGGGGAGGGGAGAGAGGTGCATGGGTGGGGAGAGATGGGGGCTTGGGGAGGGGAGAGAGGTGCATGGGTGCGGGGAGAGAGGTGGATAGGTGGGGGGGGAGAGGGTGGAGAATGGGTAGGGCCAGAGCGGTGCATGTGTTTGAGTGATGTGCATTGCGTTTTTTCACCCATGCTCTGCCCACGCCCCTCTTTCCCATGCACCCTCTACATGTTCCCCCTCGCCTCTCCAGGCACTGGCGCACTTCGCACGTGTGGGTGTGCGTGCGTGTGTGCAGCGATGAGTGGGTCATGGCAGAGCACGTGACCGCCATGCACCGAGCACACGTTGCTCTCCCGCTCCGCACTGCCCCATGCCTCGCCTTCTCCGCCTTCCGCTCATGCCTCTCCAGGTGCTGGCTGGTCTTGCAACGCATCTCACCCATGCCCCGCCCTCGCCCCTCTTACCCATGCCGCCCTCCCCCATGCCTTACCCTCTCCACCCTCTCTGCCTGCCTCTCCAGGCGCTGGCGCGGCTAGCAACGCACTTCGCGCGTGTGGGAGTGCGTGTGTGCAGCAACGAGTGGGTCATGGCAGAGCACGTGGCTGCCATGCACCGAGCACACGCCGAGAAGATGTACAGGTGGGTGGGGTGCGGTCAGGTGGGTTGCGGTCAGGCGGGGTGAGGTCAGGTAGGATGCGGTCAGGTGAAATCTGGTCAGGTGAGATGTGGGCAGGCGGGGTGTGGGCAGGTCGATGACTTTTGAGATCTGATCTGAGCCAAGCATGGTTTCAGAGGTTTGGGTTTATCTACCAATCCAAGAATCTCTCAGCCCATATATCATCGGATTTTCTTGTTGCGTTCCTTTGAAAAGTGATGACAACATAAGATAACATGGCTGACTCACCCGCACATTGGCCTCATACCCCCGTCCCCTCCCCCTTGATCCTCCCCCTCAGGCCCTACGTTGGAAAATACGCCCTTGGGGGGTGGGCGTATTGCGTATATACGCTAGCGTATGTACGCAATACGCTAATACGCCTAAAGATCACTAAAATACGCCGGGGCAGCCCGTAGAAAAAAAAAAAATCTTCCAAACAAATTGCGAGAATTTGCGACGGCGAGAATTGAACCCTCGACCTCGCACAGCACCCAACCCCTGTCTGCAATTCGAAATTCAAAATACAACCCCTCCCACATCCCCAACCTCACACCACCCCTCTCAACCTCCTAAACCCAACCTCCCCCCTTTCACTCGTTCGAACATCTCCTCAATCCATTCAATCCCGCATTTCTCTTCTTGCATTTCGTCCAACTCTTGTCGAGCTCGAACTCTCCTACATCACAAAAAACCCGGTTTCAGGGTTGGAGGTTTCGAAGGGTTGCAAGGAACAAATTTCGGTAGTTGAGTTCCACTAAATTTCCAACTACGAAACCAATGGATTTCGGATGGAAATCCAGCAGACAGGTTGAGATTGGGCAGATTCCTCGGTGCATTTCCGAGTCGCGTCAAAGTCGCGTCAGGTGTCAGACCCCGTGAACTGATTTCCAGTGGATTTCGGATCGAAATTTGATGCAAGGAATAGTTTCGTAAAATAGCTGTCTAATTGAAATAAAAAGAGTTGTACACCATTTGCAACACCCAATTCGGTTTGTACATATTTTTGCATGAGTAAAAAGTCACATTTAATTATTGTTTTTTTGCGAATCTGGTTGGATGCCAAGGATTTAGAACTTAATTTGAATTCCGTGTTACGACTAAGTATCAATGAGGGCCACTATTAACCAGATGCAGAATTTGATCAAATAAAGATTGTGACGACAACGAAACTATGATACTTAGTTATATTATGTATTTATTCATAAAGGATCGAAAGACTTCACGACGTGGACATGACCTAGAATAGAATCTATAGGGATAACAGTGAGCGCGCGAGGGTTGTAAGAACACAAGCGCACGCATCCAGTCTTCGCGTCCACGTCTGCTGTCCTATAAAAATCCACGTATGCAAGATCATGGCGCTGCCCTTCTTGGAAACAATGGAATAACAATAGCAACTTTGCGTAGGCCACTCTCTGCCCCTGACACCAAACAGCGATGTCTGAATACCAGGGTCTCTTATGGCACTCGGGGGTTGCTCTCACAAAATGAGCAACCCTTGGGGCGTTCTTCTCAGTTGACTCTGGCACTGCCATTGTTGTGTGGGTCTGCCACAAGATCACACCAGACGCATTAGTATGTGTACGTGTGCGGATTATGTTGCACAACATATGAAGAAAAGCAATAAACCATACAAAAGAAGAAACTTTGGTAACCATGAACCATACCTGAATGGATTGCGCAGTAATGCCGTAATCTGCAAGGGCATTACGCAATGCTCTGTGTGCTGTTGGGTGCTGCCGCGACCACCTTGATGAAAAGAATTTAGCGGATGTGGGGTCACTTGCTGGAGAAATAGCAAGTGCTTCAGATTCCCTCGTCAAGACGGCTCTTCCTGTGTCCATCGCCTATGGTGGGGTAGGTATGATTCCAGAGAAAAGGGTGAGGCCATGTGAGGGCAGAGAGGAGGGTGAGGGCATGTGAGGGCAGAGAGGAGGGTGAGGGCATGGGTGGGCAGAGAAGAGTGTGGCAGCATGGGAGGGCAGAGAGGAGGGTGCGGATATGAGAGGGCAGAGAGGAGGGTGAGGGCATGGGGAGGGCAGAGAGGAGGGTGGGGGCATGTGACGGCAAAGGGGAGGGTGAGGGCATGGGAGGGCAGAGAAGAGGGTGAGGGTATGGCAGGGCAGAGAGGATGGTGAGTTTATGAGACACCGGAGAGGAGGGTGAGGGCATGAGAGGACAGAGAGGAGGGTGAGGGCATGGGAGGGCAGAGAAGAGGGTGGGGGTATGGGAAGGCAGAGAGGAGGGTGAGGGCATGGGAGGGCAGAGAGGAGGGTGAGGGCATGAGAGGACAGAGAGGAGGGTGAGGGCATGGGAGGGCAGAGAAGAGGGTGGGGGTATGGGAAGGCAGAGAGGAGGTGAGGGCATGGGAGGCAGAGAGGAGGGTGAGGGCATGGGAGGGCAGAGATGAGGGTGAGGGCATGGGAGGGCAGAGAGGAGGTGAGGGCATGGGAAGGCAGAGAGGAGGGTGAGGGCATGGGAGGGCAGAGAGGAGGGTGAGGGCATGGGAGGGCAGAGAGGAGGGTGAGGGCATGGGAGGGCAGAGAGGAGGGTGAGTGTGTGTGAGGGCAGAGAGGAGGGTGAGGGTGTGTGAGGGCAGAGAGGTTTAACTCGAATATCCGCTTAGCATGACATAGCTACCTGCTGCATGATGGTGTAGCGAACCCCCTCCACGTCCTCCAACGTGATGAAAGCCGCACTCTTCTCGTGATGTTTCATGATTTGAGCATCGGCGTTGCGCTTGTTTGACCGGCGGTAAATTCGTTTCAGAAGGGGGCCGTGCAAGTGCTCCCACATGTTCGTAGAGTACTCCGACACATGCCCCGCCCTCCGAATAGCGGGCACATAATGAGAGAGGAGGTGAGTTTTTATGATGCTCCAACTAGATTTTTGTGTTGGAAAGGCTTCTTGCAACTTAGCCACAAGACTGTATATAGTGGGGATGGGGAAATGGGGTGTGTGCAAAGGGATTTATGAGCACACAACGCGCTGAGTTTAGGGTCGAAGTGTGAGACTGTAACTTCAGTAGCCAAACAGAGCCCAAAGCACACTTACGCCACTCCCTCCATCCGGCTCTGCCTTTACATGTCAGGCCACGAGATGGCAGAGAGGATGGTGGGCGCATGAGATGGCAGAGAGGATGGTGGGCGCATGAGATGGCAGAGAGGATGGTGGGGGCATGAGATGGCAGAGAGGATGGTGGGCGCATGAGATGGCAGAGAGGATGGTGGGCGCATGAGATGGCAGAGAGGATGGTGGGCGCATGAGATGGCAGAGAGGATGGTGGGCGCATGAGATGGCAGAGAGGATGGTGGGCGCATGAGATGGCAGAGAGGATGGTGGGGGCATGAGATGGCAGAGAGGATGGTGGGCGCATGAGATGGCAGAGAGGATGGTGGGGGCATGAGATGGCAGAGAGGATGGTGGGCGCATGAGATGGCAGAGAGGATGGTGGGCGCATGAGATGGCAGAGAGGATGGTGGGCGCATGAGATGGCAGAGAGGATGGTGGGCGCATGAGATGGCAGAGAGGATGGTGGGCGCATGAGATGGCAGAGAGGATGGTGGGCGCATGAGATGGCAGAGAGGATGGTGGGGGCATGAGATGGCAGAGAGGATGGTGGGCGCATGAGATGGCAGAGAGGATGGTGGGGGCATGAGATGGCAGAGAGGATGGTGGGGGCATGAGATGGCAGAGAGGATGGTGGGCGCATGAGATGGCAGAGAGGATGGTGGGGGCATGAGATGGCAGAGAGGATGGTGGGCGCATGAGATGGCAGAGAGGATGGTGGGCGCATGAGATGGCAGAGAGGATGGTGGGCGCATGAGATGGCAGAGAGGATGGTGGGGGCATGAGATGGCAGAGAGGATGGTGGGCGCATGAGATGGCAGAGAGGATGGTGGGGGCATGAGATGGCAGAGAGGATGGTGGGCGCATGAGATGGCAGAGAGGATGGTGGGGGCATGAGATGGCAGAGAGGATGGTGGGCGCATCAGATGGCAGAGAGGATGGTGGGGGCATGAGATGGCAGAGAGGATGGTGGGCGCATGAGATGGCAGAGAGGATGGTGGGCGCATGAGATGGCAGAGAGGATGGTGGGGGCATGAGATGGCAGAGAGGATGGTGGGCGCATGAGATGGCAGAGAGGATGGTGGGGGCATGAGATGGCAGAGAGGATGGTGGGGGCATGAGATGGCAGAGAGGATGGTGGGCGCATGAGATGGCAGAGAGGATGGTGGGGGCATGAGATGGCAGAGAGGATGGTGGGCGCATGAGATGGCAGAGAGGATGGTGGGGGCATGAGATGGCAGAGAGGATGGTGGGGGCATGAGATGGCAGAGAGGATGGTGGGGGCATGAGATGGCAGAGAGGATGGTGGGCGCATGAGATGGCAGAGAGGATGGTGGGGGCATGAGATGGCAGAGAGGATGGTGGGCGCATGAGATGGCAGAGAGGATGGTGGGGGCATGAGATGGCAGAGAGGATGGTGGGGGCATGAGATGGCAGAGAGGATGGTGGGCGCATGAGATGGCAGAGAGGATGGTGGGGGCATGAGATGGCAGAGAGGATGGTGGGGGCATGAGATGGCAGAGAGGATGGTGGGCGCATGAGATGGCAGAGAGGATGGTGGGGGCATGAGATGGCAGAGAGGATGGTGGGGGCATGAGATGGCAGAGAGGATGGTGGGCGCATGAGATGGCAGAGAGGATGGTGGGGGCATGAGATGGCAGAGAGGATGGTGGGCGCATGAGATGGCAGAGAGGATGGTGGGGGCATGAGATGGCAGAGAGGATGGTGGGGGCATGAGATGGCAGAGAGGATGGTGGGGCGCATGAGATGGCAGAGAGGATGGTGGGGGCATGAGATGGCAGAGAGGATGGTGGGGGCATGAGATGGCAGAGAGGATGGTGGGCGCATGAGATGGCAGAGAGGATGGTGGGGGCATGAGATGGCAGAGAGGATGGTGGGGGCATGAGATGGCAGAGAGGATGGTGGGCGCATGAGATGGCAGAGAGGATGGTGGGGGCATGAGATGGCAGAGAGGATGGTGGGCGCATGAGATGGCAGAGAGGATGGTGGGGGCATGAGATGGCAGAGAGGATGGTGGGCGCATGAGATGGCAGAGAGGATGGTGGGGGCATGAGATGGCAGAGAGGATGGTGGGCGCATGAGATGGCAGAGAGGATGGTGGGGGCATGAGATGGCAGAGAGGATGGTGGGCGCATGAGATGGCAGAGAGGATGGTGGGGGCATGAGATGGCAGAGAGGATGGTGGGGGCATGAGATGGCAGAGAGGATGGTGGGCGCATGAGATGGCAGAGAGGATGGTGGGGGCATGAGATGGCAGAGAGGATGGTGGGCGCATGAGATGGCAGAGAGGATGGTGGGGGCATGAGATGGCAGAGAGGATGGTGGGCGCATGAGATGGCAGAGAGGATGGTGGGGGCATGAGATGGCAGAGAGGATGGTGGGGGCATGAGATGGCAGAGAGGATGGTGGGCGCATGAGATGGCAGAGAGGATGGTGGGGGCATGAGATGGCAGAGAGGATGGTGGGGGCATGAGATGGCAGAGAGGATGGTGGGCGCATGAGATGGCAGAGAGGATGGTGGGGGCATGAGATGGCAGAGAGGATGGTGGGCGCATGAGATGGCAGAGAGGATGGTGGGGGCATGAGATGGCAGAGAGGATGGTGGGCGCATGAGATGGCAGAGAGGATGGTGGGGGCATGAGATGGCAGAGAGGATGGTGGGCGCATGAGATGGCAGAGAGGATGGTGGGGGCATGAGATGGCAGAGAGGATGGTGGGCGCATGAGATGGCAGAGAGGATGGTGGGGGCATGAGATGGCAGAGAGGATGGTGGGGGCATGAGATGGCAGAGAGGATGGTGGGCGCATGAGATGGCAGAGAGGATGGTGGGGGCATGAGATGGCAGAGAGGATGGTGGGCGCATGAGATGGCAGAGAGGATGGTGGGGGCATGAGATGGCAGAGAGGATGGTGGGCGCATGAGATGGCAGAGAGGATGGTGGGGGCATGAGATGGCAGAGAGGATGGTGGGCGCATGAGATGGCAGAGAGGATGGTGGGGGCATGAGATGGCAGAGAGGATGGTGGGCGCATGAGATGGCAGAGAGGATGGTGGGGGCATGAGATGGCAGAGAGGATGGTGGGGGCATGAGATGGCAGAGAGGATGGTGGGCGCATGAGATGGCAGAGAGGATGGTGGGGGCATGAGATGGCAGAGAGGATGGTGGGCGCATGAGATGGCAGAGAGGATGGTGGGGGCATGAGATGGCAGAGAGGATGGTGGGGGCATGAGATGGCAGAGAGGATGGTGGGGGCATGAGATGGCAGAGAGGATGGTGGGCGCATGAGATGGCAGAGAGGATGGTGGGGGCATGAGATGGCAGAGAGGATGGTGGGCGCATGAGATGGCAGAGAGGATGGTGGGGGCATGAGATGGCAGAGAGGATGGTGGGCGCATGAGATGGCAGAGAGGATGGTGGGGGCATGAGATGGCAGAGAGGATGGTGGGCGCATGAGATGGCAGAGAGGATGGTGGGGGCATGAGATGGCAGAGAGGATGGTGGGCGCATGAGATGGCAGAGAGGATGGTGGGGGCATGAGATGGCAGAGAGGATGGTGGGGGCATGAGATGGCAGAGAGGATGGTGGGCGCATGAGATGGCAGAGAGGATGGTGGGGGCATGAGATGGCAGAGAGGATGGTGGGCGCATGAGATGGCAGAGAGGATGGTGGGGGCATGAGATGGCAGAGAGGATGGTGGGGGCATGAGATGGCAGAGAGGATGGTGGGCGCATGAGATGGCAGAGAGGATGGTGGGGGCATGAGATGGCAGAGAGGATGGTGGGCGCATGAGATGGCAGAGAGGATGGTGGGGGCATGAGATGGCAGAGAGGATGGTGGGCGCATGAGATGGCAGAGAGGATGGTGGGGGCATGAGATGGCAGAGAGGATGGTGGGCGCATGAGATGGCAGAGAGGATGGTGGGGGCATGAGATGGCAGAGAGGATGGTGGGGGCATGAGATGGCAGAGAGGATGGTGGGCGCATGAGATGGCAGAGAGGATGGTGGGGGCATGAGATGGCAGAGAGGATGGTGGGGGCATGAGATGGCAGAGAGGATGGTGGGCGCATGAGATGGCAGAGAGGATGGTGGGGGCATGAGATGGCAGAGAGGATGGTGGGCGCATGAGATGGCAGAGAGGATGGTGGGGGCATGAGATGGCAGAGAGGATGGTGGGGGCATGAGATGGCAGAGAGGATGGTGGGCGCATGAGATGGCAGAGAGGATGGTGGGGGCATGAGATGGCAGAGAGGATGGTGGGGGCATGAGATGGCAGAGAGGATGGTGGGGGCATGAGATGGCAGAGAGGATGGTGGGGGCATGAGATGGCAGAGAGGATGGTGGGCGCATGAGATGGCAGAGAGGATGGTGGGGGCATGAGATGGCAGAGAGGATGGTGGGGGCATGAGATGGCAGAGAGGATGGTGGAGGCATGAGATGGCAGAGAGGATGGTGGGGGCATGAGATGGCAGAGAGGATGGTGGGGGCATGAGATGGCAGAGAGGATGGTGGGCGCATGAGATGGCAGAGAGGATGGTGGGCGCATGAGATGGCAGAGAGGATGGTGGGGGCATGAGATGGCAGAGAGGATGGTGGGGGCATGAGATGGCAGAGAGGATGGTGGGCGCATGAGATGGCAGAGAGGATGGTGGGGGCATGAGATGGCAGAGAGGATGGTGGGCGCATGAGATGGCAGAGAGGATGGTGGGCGCATGAGATGGCAGAGAGGATGGTGGGCGCATGAGATGGCAGAGAGGATGGTGGGGGCATGAGATGGCAGAGAGGATGGTGGGCGCATGAGATGGCAGAGAGGATGGTGGGCGCATGAGATGGCAGAGAGGATGGTGGGGGCATGAGATGGCAGAGAGGATGGTGGGGGCATGAGATGGCAGAGAGGATGGTGGGCGCATGAGATGGCAGAGAGGATGGTGGGCGCATGAGATGGCAGAGAGGATGGTGGGGGCATGAGATGGCAGAGAGGATGGTGGGCGCATGAGATGGCAGAGAGGATGGTGGGCGCATGAGATGGCAGAGAGGATGGTGGGCGCATGAGATGGCAGAGAGGATGGTGGGGGCATGAGATGGCAGAGAGGATGGTGGGGGCATGAGATGGCAGAGAGGATGGTGGGCGCATGAGATGGCAGAGAGGATGGTGGGGGCATGAGATGGCAGAGAGGATGGTGGGGGCATGAGATGGCAGAGAGGATGGTGGGCGCATGAGATGGCAGAGAGGATGGTGGGCGCATGAGATGGCAGAGAGGATGGTGGGCGCATGAGATGGCAGAGAGGATGGTGGGGGCATGAGATGGCAGAGAGGATGGTGGGGGCATGAGATGGCAGAGAGGATGGTGGGCGCATGAGATGGCAGAGAGGATGGTGGGGGCATGAGATGGCAGAGAGGATGGTGGGGGCATGAGATGGCAGAGAGGATGGTGGGCGCATGAGATGGCAGAGAGGATGGTGGGCGCATGAGATGGCAGAGAGGATGGTGGGGGCATGAGATGGCAGAGAGGATGGTGGGCGCATGAGATGGCAGAGAGGATGGTGGGGGCATGAGATGGCAGAGAGGATGGTGGGGGCATGAGATGGCAGAGAGGATGGTGGGCGCATGAGATGGCAGAGAGGATGGTGGGGGCATGAGATGGCAGAGAGGATGGTGGGGGCATGAGATGGCAGAGAGGATGGTGGGCGCATGAGATGGCAGAGAGGATGGTGGGGGCATGAGATGGCAGAGAGGATGGTGGGGGCATGAGATGGCAGAGAGGATGGTGGGCGCATGAGATGGCAGAGAGGATGGTGGGGGCATGAGATGGCAGAGAGGATGGTGGGGGCATGAGATGGCAGAGAGGATGGTGGGCGCATGAGATGGCAGAGAGGATGGTGGGGGCATGAGATGGCAGAGAGGATGGTGGGCGCATGAGATGGCAGAGAGGATGGTGGGGGCATGAGATGGCAGAGAGGATGGTGGGGGCATGAGATGGCAGAGAGGATGGTGGGCGCATGAGATGGCAGAGAGGATGGTGGGGGCATGAGATGGCAGAGAGGATGGTGGGGGCATGAGATGGCAGAGAGGATGGTGGGCGCATGAGATGGCAGAGAGGATGGTGGGGGCATGAGATGGCAGAGAGGATGGTGGGGGCATGAGATGGCAGAGAGGATGGTGGGCGCATGAGATGGCAGAGAGGATGGTGGGGGCATGAGATGGCAGAGAGGATGGTGGGGGCATGAGATGGCAGAGAGGATGGTGGGCGCATGAGATGGCAGAGAGGATGGTGGGGGCATGAGATGGCAGAGAGGATGGTGGGCGCATGAGATGGCAGAGAGGATGGTGGGGGCATGAGATGGCAGAGAGGATGGTGGGGGCATGAGATGGCAGAGAGGATGGTGGGCGCATGAGATGGCAGAGAGGATGGTGGGGGCATGAGATGGCAGAGAGGATGGTGGGGGCATGAGATGGCAGAGAGGATGGTGGGCGCATGAGATGGCAGAGAGGATGGTGGGGGCATGAGATGGCAGAGAGGATGGTGGGGGCATGAGATGGCAGAGAGGATGGTGGGCGCATGAGATGGCAGAGAGGATGGTGGGGGCATGAGATGGCAGAGAGGATGGTGGGGGCATGAGATGGCAGAGAGGATGGTGGGGGCATGAGATGGCAGAGAGGATGGTGGGCGCATGAGATGGCAGAGAGGATGGTGGGGGCATGAGATGGCAGAGAGGATGGTGGGCGCATGAGATGGCAGAGAGGATGGTGGGGCATGAGATGGCAGAGAGGATGGTGGGGGCATGAGATGGCAGAGAGGATGGTGGGGGCATGAGATGGCAGAGAGGATGGTGGGGGCATGAGATGGCAGAGAGGATGGTGGGGGCATGAGATGGCAGAGAGGATGGTGGGGGCATGAGATGGCAGAGAGGATGGTGGGGGCATGAGATGGCAGAGAGGATGGTGGGGGCATGAGATGGCAGAGAGGATGGTGGGGGCATGAGATGGCAGAGAGGATGGTGGGGGCATGAGATGGCAGAGAGGATGGTGGGGGGCATGAGATGGCAGAGAGGATGGTGGGGGCATGAGATGGCAGAGAGGATGGTGGGCGCATGAGATGGCAGAGAGGATGGTGGGCGCATGAGATGGCAGAGAGGATGGTGGGGGCATGAGATGGCAGAGAGGATGGTGGGCGCATGAGATGGCAGAGAGGATGGTGGGGGCATGAGATGGCAGAGAGGATGGTGGGGGCATGAGATGGCAGAGAGGATGGTGGGCGCATGAGATGGCAGAGAGGATGGTGGGGGCATGAGATGGCAGAGAGGATGGTGGGGGCATGAGATGGCAGAGAGGATGGTGGGCGCATGAGATGGCAGAGAGGATGGTGGGGGCATGAGATGGCAGAGAGGATGGTGGGGGCATGAGATGGCAGAGAGGATGGTGGGGGCATGAGATGGCAGAGAGGATGGTGGGGGCATGAGATGGCAGAGAGGATAGCTTATCTATGGGATGGCACATAGGTGGGAGCGTTCATTAGATGTCTTTCATCACACTTACATCCACGTCGAACGTCGAATATTCCTGCCCAAGTGTTTTCCGCGTCTGCACTTGTACCACCTTGTACCAGTTTTCCTTGATCCATCGTTGTTGCACTGGAGTGCGTGTAACGTTTGCGGCTGACACGGCACACAAGTGATCCTGCACGAACGAGAGGTAGCACCATTGACTACAAAAAATCTCCAATACAAAGATAAGCGGTTTAGATGTCATTGGATCCTAGTTAGACTGTGGCAAATCACCCAAACGACATGCCACATACCTTGTGAGCATAGCATATGCTGCACGGCCGATTGGTAGCACCGGATAGCGTGCACGTAATTTTGCAGCTCTCGGGAAAATCACAGACCCACGCGTACAGCATGGGTATCACATGGTGCTCAACGCCATTTGGGTCCTTCATCATGAAGCCACTGCATTGAACGGGTCCAGATGGCAGCTAGGAGAATGAGTGCATGCGAGTGTTTCTAACTTGGTGAGTGCACTGGAATGGAGCGTAGAATTCACATACGAGGACAACGACATGTGCTGGCATCTAGAGCGTGGAAGGTCGAAGGGAATTGGATGCATGTAAACGAAGAGAGGCGATCGGGGTTTGATGTGCAAACATCACCTTTTCAAGCCCTCAAGGATGGGTTGTAGCATGAGCTCCACGGCTTTGTGAAACAACTCCGTGCTTTGTGCGGAGCTCATGCCAGCCGGTGGTATGGGGAGATTCCCCAGGAGCACATGGCCAGAAGATGCCCAGCGTTTCCCTTGCGAGATGTTGACGATGCTCATCATCACCGGATGTGCCTTTTTCCTACCGTTGTTGCTAAGGTGTGTGACGTCACTGTATAAAATTATCCCAGCAATAACTACGTCAGGTCCAAGTTCAGCCTGACGTTGAAGGTAAACAGAACCACAAATAGGGATGCGAAAATAACGGTGTAGCAATAAGTAGCATGATGGTAAGAATCTAACACCTCCTCTCCTCTGTCCGCCCACCTCTGTCCCTCTCCTGTCCGATAGGGTGAGAGACAAGCATAGGGAGGGTAGGGGGGGATGGGGGAATAAGAGCAGGGATGGAGCAAGGAGGAGAATGGCGGTGAATCTCTCACACCTCCTCTCCTCTGTCCGCCCACCTCTGTCCCTCTCCTGTCCGATAGTGTGAGAGACAAGCGTAGGGAGGGTAGGGGGGGATGGGGGAATAAGAGCAGGGATGGAGCAAGGAGGAGAATGGCGATGAATCTCTCACCCCTCCTCTCCTCTGTCCGCCCTCCTCTGTCCCTCTCCTGTCCGATAGTGTGAGAGACAAGCATAGGGAGGGTAGGGGGGGATGGGGGAATAAGAGCAGGGATGGAGCAAGGAGGAGAATGGCGGTGAATCTCTCACCCCTCCTCTCCTCTGTCCGCCCACCTCTGTCCCTCTCCTGTCCGATAGGGTGAGAGACAAGCATAGGGAGGGTAGGGGGGGATGGGGGAATAAGAGCAGGGATGGAGCAAAGAGGAGAATGGCAGTGAATCTCTCACCCCTCCTCTCCTCTGTCCGCCCACCGCTGTCCCTCTCCTGTCCGATAGGGTGAGAGACAAGCATAGGGAGGGTAGGGGGGGATGGGGGAATAAGAGCAGGGATGGAGCAAGGAGGAGAATGGCGGTGAATCTCTCACCCCTCCACTCCTCTGTCCGTCCACCTCTGTCCCTCTCCTGTCCGATAGTGTGAGAGACAAGCATAGGGAGGGTAGGGGGGGATGGGGGAATAAGAGCAGGGATGGAGCAAAGAGGAGAATGGCGGTGAATCTCTCACCCCTCCTCTCCTCTGTCCGCCCACCTCTGTCCCTCTCCTGTCCGATAGTGTGAGAGACAAGCGTAGGGAGGGTATGGGGGGATGGGGGAATAAGAGCAGGGATGGAGCAAGGAGGAGAATGGCGGTGAATCTCTCACCCCTCCTCTCCTCTGTCCGCCCACCTCTGTCCCTCTCCTGTCCGATAGGGTGAGAGACAAGCATAGGGAGGGTAGGGGGGGATGGGGGAATAAGAGCAGGGATGGAGCAAGGAGGAGAATGGCGGTGAATCTCTCACCCCTCCTCTCCTCTGTCCGCCCACCTCTGTCCCTCTCCTGTCCGTGTGAGAGACAAGCGTAGGGAGGGTATGGGGGGATGGGGGAATAAGAGCAGGGATGGAGCAAGGAGGAGAATGGCGGTGAATCTCTCACCCCTCCTCTCCTCTGTCCGCCCACCTCTGTCCCTCTCCTGTCCGATAGGGTGAGAGACAAGCATAGGGAGGGTAGGGGGGGATGGGGGAATAAGAGCAGGGATGGAGCAAAGAGGAGAATGGCAGTGAATCTCTCACCCCTCCTCTCCTCTGTCCGCCCACCTCTGTCCCTCTCCTGTCCGATAGTGTGAGAGACAAGCGTAGGGAGGGTATGGGGGGATGGGGGAATAAGAGCAGGGATGGAGCAAGGAGGAGAATGGCGGTGAATCTCTCACCCCTCCTCTCCTCTGTCCGCCCACCTCTGTCCCTCTCCTGTCCGATAGTGTGAGAGACAAGCGTAGGGAGGGTATGGGGGGATGGGGGAATAAGAGCAGGGATGGAGCAAGGAGGAGAATGGCGGTGAATCTCTCACCCCTCCTCTCCTCTGTCCGCCCACCTCTGTCCCTCTCCTGTCCGATAGGGTGAGAGACAAGCATAGGGAGGGTAGGGGGGGATGGGGGAATAAGAGCAGGGATGGAGCAAGGAGGAGAATGGCGGTGAATCTCTCACCCGTCCTCTCCTCTGTCCGCCCACCTCTGTCCCTCTCCAGCCCGATAGTGTGAGAGACAAGCGTAGGGAGGGTAGGGGGGAATGTGGGACAAGCATAGGGATGGAGGGATAACTTTGAATGCGTGGGCTTGCGACCGAGTTCTAATCTGATGACATGGCAGGACGATACCATTAATCGGGCTCACTTGCAATCTCACCTGCACGTCATGCCACTATGTCGCCGTCTCTGGCGTTGTGTACCTCCTCTCCTTGGATTCAGGGTCGTAGTCCACCCGCGGCTTCAGAACGAACCCCGGTGCATTTCGGGGATCACCAAACAAGTCGGCAAGTGCCTGAGAGGTATAAAGAGCGGAGATTTATATTTGCATCAAATTTCTGCAAGCATCGAAAATACGGCTAGGTAAGGAACAGGCATTACACGGACCTGTAAGGAGTTGCGGAAGAACAGCGTCTGCGCCGGGAAGCCCGCGACCTTGAAGGTTACAGTGGAGTACCCACGGCCTAGTCCCCGCAGTTGGTTCAGCTCGAATCGCTCGAGCTCCCGGCAGTTGCTGTACTCCTCGAGTACCTTCTGTGCAAGCTCGGGAACCATCAGAAGCTGTAGCAGGGCGTTGATGTCCGTCTCTGCCAAACCGAGACGGCCGTTGGCTTTCCGCATGAAGTGCAGGAAGCGGAGGGCTGCAGGATTGCTGGGCGGGGGCCTCCCGAAGCTCGTGGGGATGGAAGGGGGAGGAGCAGCATCATTATTACGACAGCCGGTTGCACCATGGGATGACGTTGCAGTGTCTGCGTTGAGCCCTGCTGGCATTTCAGGTTCATGGAAGGAACATGACGAGTTGCTGCCAGCGGAGTTCTCACCCACATCAGGTTCGGGTACGTGGTCTTCATGAACGGCAGGGGCCGGCACATGTTCCGCATCATCACTCGCATTCGGGACGGGGGTCGTGAATAGCACGATATGTTCTTTCACGGCCGGCCCACCATTACGGCGTGCTGCATATTTTACACGGCACTCGCCGTCCCACGCCTTGTGCTGGCCAAACACCTGCGCACTACGGAAGGTAGACCCGCAGAAGACGCAACGGATCTGACCGTTGCAGTTCATGTGACCGAGGGTAAGTCGCAGTGGCCGTGAGACACATGTTATTGTGAGAGTTCTCACGAGCACACGTGTCTTGCGGCCAACTGGATGGTGTGAAGGTTGTAGAACACGGGGTTTATTCAAGCGAGGTGCGAGAAGCCTTTAACCGTCGGAGATGCTACCGTATTACGTAGGCTGTGCGTTCTGTTTCCTACATGACTGAGGAGATAATAAGGCACCGCTGTTAAGACGAGCAAGGATAATAACTGGTTGAACGTTCGACGCAGACTGATATTGCTTTGCCAAAAGCAAGCAACGATAATATGGAAGTCCCAGGCTTGCCGAACGCGTCATACAAAGAACGAGTGGGTGATTGTAGGTGACGCGGCAGCACGACGCTCGAAGGCGCCGACATGGTTTGAACCTACATTTTGAATATCGAGTTTGAAATTCGAAGTGGCCCAGGTGAGGAAAGCTCGTGGTTTGCGAGATGGCGGCGCGGGAATGATTTATCCTCGTTCCCGTGTCACGCGAAGTACGCTAGTAGCTCACGTGCTGTTGGTACCTTGTGTATGTCGTAGTAATGTGTGATGCATGCGTTGGTGTAGTTGAAGTGTACAAACAACTTTTTGTATTTCTAAAAACCACACCACATGAATTATTAGTAATTCTTCTGTGCTTTTAAAGCCCAAGACCTGAATTACAAAGAAAGGAAGGCAAACTGTGCACAGTTTGCCTTCCGAGCCCACAGTTGACTTCCCGAGCCTCTCTGGTTACCAAATGACGCCCCGCCAAAAACCAGGGAGTCGTAGAGCAGCGGAGGTTTGGTTGGCGAGAGTCCCAACCGTTCCCTCCTGAAAGGAGTAGGGCAAGCTGTGCACAGTTTGGAAATTGTTGTAATTCAGGTCAAGCTCGACCACATAGTATGCACGAGAAACTCCTAGGTAGAACAGAAAACCAATAGAGCTGGAGCCCACTCCTAGGTAGTATGCATCTCGTCTCCAAGGTCGATAGTAATAATCATACGGTCGATCGCTGTCATTTCCCGCGCATTCGCCCTATGTTTGCATCAGCTCTATTCCCCTCCCGCGCCTCCTCGTCGACGTCACACCCTGCCACCCACGCTTCCCCTCGTCGACGTCGCCGTGCCCCATTACGTCGCTACTTTTACGTCTTCGATCGCACTCTTCCTCAGTTGTCTCCCCACCACTCCCCACTCTCCTCACAGGGTTGCCCACTCGGTCGCCCTGGCTTCGTCCTACTGCCGACATCGTGTTTGATTGTATCGCCTTCCGCGTCCCCCACGCTTCCCCCCACCGTCCCCCACGCTTCCCCCCAGCGTCCCCCACGCTTCCCCCCACCGTCGCCAACGCTTCCTCCCGCTGTCGCTCACACTTCACTCCGTCGTTGCCCACACTACCCCTCCCGTCACCCACCTTCACCGCCGTCCACGCTTTCCCCCTGTCGCCCACGCTTCCTCCCACCGTCGCCCACGCTTCCTCCCACCGTCACGCTTCCTCCCACCGTCGCCCTCGCTTCCTCCCACCGTCGCCCACGCTTCCTCCCACCGTCGCCCTCGCTTCCTCCCACCGTCGCCCACGCTTCCTCCCACCGTCGCCCACACTTCCTCCCACCGTCGCCCACGCTTCCTCCCGCCGTCGCCCACGCTTCCTCCCACCGTCGCCCACGCTTCCCCCCACCGTCGCCCACGCTTTCCCCCACCGTCGCCCACGCTTTCCCCCACCGTCGCCCACGCTTTCCCCCACCGTCGCCCACGCTTTCCCCCACCTTCGCCCATGGCAGGTGGTGGTGCGGCTTTGGAGCAGAGTGTTGGGCGCACAGCCAGGGCAGCGTGTACAGGCGGGCAGCAAGGAGTGCAGTGCTGCAGGGGGCGGGTTAGGGGAGGCGGAGCGGGGGAGGCGGGGGTTAGGGAGAGATGGTGCAGGGATCCTCCTATCCCCCTTATACCCTGCCACACTCTTACCTCCTGCCCTCCTCCCTTCCTCCGTTTTGTGGGGCCCCCACAGTCGTCCTCCTCTCCCTCTCTCTTCCTCCCTTCCTCCATCTATCCCACACTCTCTGCCTCACTACCCTCTTTCCCCTTTCTGTTGCCCGTTCTCCCTCCCTTCCTCCCGCCCTCCCTTCCTGCCATTCTCCCTCTCCTCATCCTCCCTCGATCCAATCCCCCTTTCCCTTTCCATTTCCCACTCGCCCACTCCCTTCCTCACGCCAACCCTGCTCCTCCGTTCCACCCATCCTCTCATCCGCCTATCCTCTCATCCGGCCATCCTCTCATCCGCCCATCATCTCATCCGCCCTTCCCTCATCTCCGAATTCCTCATCTCCCCTTCCCTCATCTCCCCATCCCTCTCCTCCCCATCCCTCATCTCCCCATTCCGCCTCACCCCATTCCGCCCCACCCCATTCCGCCCCACCCCTTTCTGCCCCACCCCATTCCGCCATGCCATCCTACTTCTCATCCCCTTTTCCTCGTTTCCCCATCCCTCGTTCCCCAATCCCATCATTCCCCGTGCCAACTTTCACCATTCCACCATACGGTCATACCCCATTCCGCTGGCTCCCCGTCACCTCCACCCCGTCCCCTCTCCTCCCTGCTTCTTCCCATCTTCCGCCTCGCCAAAAGGTTCGTTCTTCACCACCTCCGCTATCCATCCCTTTCTATACCCATCCCCTCCTCCCCATCCATCCTATCTCCAACTCCTCCCCCTATCCCTCCTCTCGCAATCCCTCCTCTTCCAAACCCATCATTTTCTCATTCCCTTTCCCGGCCCCGTTCCTCGATGTCTCCCATCTGCCGTACCTCACCTCCATCGGTTCCTCCCATCCTCCATCCTCGTTACCTCCCTGCCACCCTTTCTCCTCCCCACCCTCCTCCCCAGCCTCTCTTCCTCCCCTCCCTTCTGCTTCTCCCCCAAGCGTCCTTCCTACCTCCCTTCCTCCCATCATCACTTCCTGTCTTCCTTCATTCCTGCATTCCTCACTTCCTCCCTTCCTCCGTTCCTCCCTTCCACTTGCCAGTTGTCATTCTTTTGCATGCTTGCTTCCCATATACTTCAGCCACGCCACATCTGACTTCTTGGTTTGTGTTTGGACAGGTTTGCTCTGCATCTGGTGGTGATGTGATGGCTGTCTCATAGTAACACGACGTATAGCCATGCCATGTATTGGATCCAATTTTATAATACAGGACTATGAGCCTCGGAGCAGTCATATACATGACCAATACCAAGGAGATCAACAATATCTGTAAATTAAGGGGAATCACTCCACTCGAGTAGGGAACAATGCTAGGGGGTGTGCGTGCAATGTTGCTTCCCGGTTTTGACTGCTACACTGCAAGCAATAATCCAGGCAGTGGTAATGCCACATCTGGTGCTGGGCACCTGTAACTGCATTTGGGGGTATGGTGGTGTGGTGAGTGAAGGGGGAATGACAGCAAACGGAATGAGCAGAGGGGAAGAGAAGAAGCAGCGGGGGACAGATTGAACAGAGGGGAAGAGAGGAAGCAGGGGGGAACAGAGTGAGCAGAAGTAAAGAGAGTGAGCAAGGGGGAAGAGAGTGAGAAGAGAAGAAGGGGAGGGAGCAAGGGTGAAACAGAGGGAGCAAGGGTGAGCTGGGAAGGGGATGGGGGGAAGCAGGGAAAGGGATGGGGGAAAGCAGGGAAGGGGATGGGGGGAAGCAGGGAAGGGGATGGGGGGGTTTAGGGAAGGGGATGGGGGGATGCTGGGAGGGGGACGGGGGGAAGGAGGGAAGGGGACGGGGGGAAGCAGGGAAGGGGAATGGGGGAAGCAGGGAAGGGGATGAAGGGGAAGCAGGGAAGGGGATGGGGGGAGGCAGGAAAGGGGACGGGGGGAAGGAGGGAAGGGGACGGGGGGAAGCAGGGAAGGGGAAGGGGGGAAGCAGGGAAGGGGATGGGGGGAGGCAGGGAAGGGGACGGGGAGAAGGAGGGAAGGGGACGGGGGGGAGGAGGGAAGGAGAACAGGGATGGAGATGGGGGGGAACAGGGATGGAGATGGGGGGGAACAGGGATGGAGATGGGGGGGAACAGGGATGGAGAGGGGGGAGAACAGGGATGGAGATGGGGGGGAACAGGGATGGAGATGGGGGGAAACAGGGATGGAGATGGGGGGGAACAGGGATGGAGATGGGGGGGAACAGGGATGGAGATGGGGGGGAACAGGGATGGAGATGGGGGGGAACAGGGATGGAGAGGGGGGGGAACAGGGATGGAGATGGGGGGGAACAGGGATGGAGATGGGGGGGAACAGGGATGGAGATGGGGGGGAACAGGGATGGAGATGGGGGGGAACAGGGATGGAGATGGGGGGGAACAGGGATGGAGATGGGGGGGAACAGGGATGGAGATGGGGGGGAACAGGGATGGAGAGGGGGGGGAACAGGGATGGAGATGGGGGGGAACAGGGATGGAGATGGGGGGAACAGGGATGGAGATGGGGGGGAACAGGGATGGAGATGGGGGGGAACAGGGATGGAGATGGGGGGGAACAGGGATGGAGATGGGGGGGAACAGGGAAGAAGGGAAGGGTGTATGTGTGGGTTGGAAAGGGGGAGTGACAAGTGTGCGAGATGGGAAGGGAGAAGGGAGGGATGGCGAGGGCAACGAGGAGTGGAAGGGAGGGCGACGGGGAAACCGAGGGCGACGGGGGTGTTAGGGTTGGTTCGCCCAACCACGGAACCTACGGCGAAAGCTTCTACGACGGCGGAATGACGGCGAAATGGAAGCATGTGGATGATTCTAGGTGAAACGGTGGAAATCGGCCTACGGTGGAGAATGGAAGCTACGGCGTGAGAAGCGAGAGAGAAATCGGGAAGAAACTAGAGAAATGGAGGAAGAAGAGTGAAGAAGTATCGAGATTGAAGTTGACGAGGGGAAATTCAGGTTCGAGCTTGAGGCGTGTTCGAGAAGGTTCCAGATTCGGACTTGAGGAGTGTTCGGTGCATTCAGTTCGGTTCCGTGTGCGACTCGGGGTGAAACGAGGCGCACGGGGTTACTTGGGAAACAAGTGAAGTTACGATATTTTGTGACTTGCTTGACTATAAAACTGCTTGTACTCATTCTGGAAAACACAACTTGGAGATTCTGAAAATTGCTGAAGTGTGTATTGACAACTTCAAGCAGAGCTGCGCATATCATTGGATTCGTGAGATCGTGGAGAACACGATAAGCAATAGCAAGTAGACTATTGCCGACTAAGGTGTTTACGATCCTAAGAGCTGGTATCAGAGCTTGGCGAACGGGCGCGTCGATCGTCGTGAATTTACTTGGTGCGCTAAGTGAAATTAGTGGAGAAGAGGAGTCGTTCACGCCTACGCCATGGGAGACGAGGCGAGTTCGGGTTCCAGTGTGAGTCTTGGAGACCCGCAGTTGAAGGCTCTTCTCGAGGCCCTTGCGAGTGGCCGATTGGTGGCGAAACCGACGATCGGGCTCAGTGAAGCCCAGCGCTTCAACGGAAGCAACTACAACGTGTGGCGGAAGAAGTTTATTCGGAGGGCAGAGGAGGTTGACCTCTTGCCGTACTACCGTCCCGACGAGGAGACGATGGAGGGAGTTGCGCCATCCCCGACGGATACGAAGGAGAAAATAGCGGCGTTCAAAAAACAAAGTAAGCAAGCGTTCTTTCAGCTTTGTCACTCAGTTGCCAATGGAATCGCGGTGGATTTGGACCAGTTTGCAGGGGAGCTGAATGTGAAGATAAGTAGTAGAAGAAGGCGCCATAGCTAGGAAAGCCCTAGCTAGGCAAGAAACAGTTTAGGCAAAGAAGGAGGAGTTGCACTAGCAAGAATGAGGATACAAATAGCAAACCCTAGAAGGGTTGTACTCGCTATAGAGCACCCCACTACAGGCTAGAGCATAATATTCTGACACACCCCCATAGCCAAAGTGGGGTGTAATCAGCAGAGCAAGCAAAGCAGAACAAGCTCAGGGTGGATCACAATGTCACCACACATTCTGAGCACAAGTTCAGGAAGCAATAGTTTAAAGTTCACAATTATGAGCAAAGCTAGTGGTAGTCACAACGGGCAAGTGAGGAGGAGGAGGGACAGTGAGAGGAGAGGAGATAGGAGGCGACGGCTGAAGCTGCAGACACACGGGCAACAGGAGGCACACTGGCACAGCGGCTACCGGAACAGCGCTCCGGACTACTGGAGTAACTGGCCCCGCGGCTAAAAGTAGCGGCAGACGAGCAACGGACCCACGGGCGACTGGCATAGGTGGCTACGACTGGGCTACCGGAGCAACTCCCCGGACTACAGGTGCTGCTGGCGACACGACGGCAACCTCCGTTCAACCTCCCCCAAACAGTACCACCCCTCCTGACACACACCCCCTGCTTCATCCTAGCTCCACTCCCTCTTCACCCCCCCTTAGTACCACTCCGACGGCTCCAACAGGTCCACCCCCCTTCAGCGGCAGCTGCAGCACAGGGAGACGGAGGAGGAGGAGGAGCAGGGAACGGCACACAGAAGCTGCACCCCCATACCCCCCACCCCCAAACCCTAATCCAGGAGAACAGGCAGAAGGAGGGGTGGGGCGCCTTCAGAAGCACGGGGGACAGCGGGGAGGACAGGGGCAGCGAAGAACGGGCCGCCCACGGGCCTGGCACAGCCTCCCGAACCGCGCGCAGGCGGCCCGAGCCGCGCGCGGGCCTGGCGCAGTCCGTACGGGCCGCGCGCGGGCCTGGCGCAGCCCGTACGGGCCGCGCGCGGGCCTGGCGCAGCCCGTACGGGCCGCACGCGGGCCTGGCGCAGCCCGTACGGGCCGCGCGCGGGCCTGGCGCAGCCCGTACGGGCCGCACGCGGGCCTGGCGCAGCCCGTACGGGCCGCGCGCAGGCCTGGCGCAGCCCGTACGGGCCGCGCGCCGGCTGTACGGGCCGCGCGCAGGCCACGACGGGCGACGGGGGGCGACGCGCGGGTCCCCGTCGCCCGTCGTAGCGCCTCCTGGGGGCGACGCGCCGAGTGACGGGGCAGAAACCCGTCGCGCGCCTCGGGGCGCACGGCGGGCAGAAAACCGCCGCGCGCCTCGGGGCGCACGGCGGGCAGAAAACCGCCGCGCGCCTCGGGGCGCACGGCGGGCTGAAAAACCCTAATTTCGACGCCGCGCACCACGGGGCGCGCGGCGGACAGGGAGTAGCAGTAGCAGCGGAAGCAGTGAGGTGGGGCCCACAGGCCAGGAGCATATCGCTCTAATACCATGTGAAGATAAGTAGTAGAAGAAGGCGCCATAGCTAGGAAAGCCCTAGCTAGGCAAGAAACAGTTTAGGCAAAGAAGGAGGAGTTGCACTAGCAAGAATGAGGATACAAATAGCAAACCCTAGAAGGGTTGTACTCGCTATAGAGCACCCCACTACAGGCTAGAGCATAATATTCTGACACTGAACTCTGCACAGAAAGCGTGGGAGTACCTGGAGTCCACGTACATGGGCACGAACGATGTCAACAAGAAGGCGATTAGGAAGCAACTGCTGATGCTGAGCATGGAGAAAGGCGAGAAAATCATCACCTACATCAACAGGGCGAAAAACTACAACGACGACTTGCGGGTGATGGGAGCCGCGGAGACGGAGCATGAGATGATTGACTATATCATCCAAGGCCTTCCTAAGGAGTGGGAATCTGACATCGGTATGTTTACGTACCAACCGCCGGAGAGTTTGACGAAGCTGCAGGAGATTTTGCAATCGCTTGAGACGGTGAAGGAGATGAGGAAAAAGAAAGCGGCAGCAGCAGCTACGGATTTCGACGAGGAGAGGCCGGCTTTGGTGAATGCAACGAAGGCGTTTGGAGCGTGCTACCAGTGTGGAAAGAGGGGGCATAAGGCGATAAACTGCTACGAAAATCCGCGAAGCAGAAACTACAAGGGCAAAGCGGTGGAGAACGAGAAAGGAGAAAATGGGGGAGCAGAGTGGCAACAGAAACGAGGTTTTGGCGGCAAGTGCGATTATTGTGGGCGCTATGGGCATCGTGCCGCAGAGTGTTACTCCAATCCGAACAGCAGGAGCTACAAGGGTCCGTCGCAGCAGAGGAATGTGGCGGCTAAGGCGAATGTAGCGGAAGCGAACGAGGATGATGTGATCCTTGGAGGAGCGCATCGTGCGAACGTGGTGCGTTTGCCAAAGGAGGTTCGGCAGACGGACGGACGTGAGAAGACGGCATGGTTCATGGACAGCAGATGCACGCGTCACATGACATTCAGGTCAGATTTGATTGAGAACGTGAGGGAGTCGAGTGAGCGTTATATACTGCAAGGTAACAGTGGGAAGTTACCAGTGACAGGAGAGGGTGACGTGGTGCTGCAGAGTCCGTATGGAGAGATGAGACTGGAGAATGTGCTGCTGGTTGCGGATTTGAAGGTGAACTTGGTCAGTCAGTCACAGCTTGATGACTTGGGGTGCAAGATATTTTATGACAAAGGCGAGGTTACAGTGTTTGGTCCTGAGTGGGAGAAGTATGCCGATGGATACTTCAGTGACGGGTTCTATGAGATGAACTTGATAGCGATGAACGACAAGGATGAGATCTATGAGGATCCTGAGTCTACTGAGGTTGATGAGAGCGAGGACACGGATGATACGGGAGCGAGTGTGGAGGCAGCAGTGAAGCAGGAAGAAGAGATAGTCACCATGGAGGCAGCAGCGGTGAATGATGGAGATGGAGATGGTGTCAACACTTTTGCAGCAGCGGTCGTGGTTAAAGATGAAGCAGTAAATGCGAAGTGTGTGGGAGTTGAAGCTGTGAAAGGGGGCATCATGGTGAAGGGATCAAAGGTGAATGCAACTGCAAAGGGGCGTGTGCTTACGAAAGAGGAACACGTTGAGGGGTACGAGACCCGAGAGGTGTTGGGTGCTAAGATTCCGAGGAGAAGCGAGAGGCTTAAGAAGATGCCTCATGGTTTGGATATCAAGGCGCTCAACTTCAAGACACGTAAGCAGAGGTTCAAGGTGCAGGAGCTGCAGGGGAGCGTGAAGCCGACTTAGACCCTGTGAATGCTACAAGGAGCAGGAAAGCAGTGCGAGTGGTGTTCGTGGTTGACGAACCACAGGGGATGGAGATGGGGGGGAACAGGGATGGAGATGGGGGGGAACAGGGATGGAGATGGGGGGGAACAGGGATGGAGATGGGGGGGAACAGGGATGGAGATGGGGGGGAACAGGGATGGAGATGGGGGGGAACAGGGATGGAGATGGGGGGGAACAGGGATGGAGATGGGGGGGAACAGGGAAGAAGGGAAGGGTGTATGTGTGGGTTGGAAAAGGGGAGTGACAAGTGTGCGAGATGGGAAGGGAGAAGGGAGGGATGGCGAGGGCAACGAGGAGTGGAAGGGAGGGCGACGGGGAAACCGAGGGCGACGGGGGGAGAGAGAGACGGGGATTGCGAGGGGACGAGCGGGAGCGAGGGCGACGAGCGGCAGGAAGGGCGACGAGACGAAGGGGGGCAACGTGCGGAAGGGAGGGAAAGAGAGCGTGAATGGGGAAATGAAGGCGACGGGAGGGGGAAATGAAGGCGACGGGAGGGGGAAATGAAGGCGACGGGAGGGGGAAATGAAGGCGACGGGAGGGGGAAATGAAGGCGACGGGAGGGGGAAATGAAGGCGACGGGAGGGGGAAATGAAGGCGACGGGAGGGGGAAATGAAGGCGACGGGAGGGGGAAATGAAGGCGACGGGAGGGGGGAGTGAAGGCGAAGGAAGGAGGAAGTGAAGGCGAAGGGAGGAGGAAGTGAAGGCAAAGGGAGGAGGAAGTGAAGGCGAAGGAAGGAGGAAGTGAAGGCGACGGGAAGGGGAAATGAAGGCGGGGGAAGAGGGGGGGGGGGAGGGGGGGGGGAGGGGGGGGGGGGGGGAAGGTGACGGGGAAGAAGTGAAGGCGACGGGCGGAGCGAAGGCGACGGGCTGGGGTCGCGTCGTCGCCATCGCTGCGGAAGCGATGGCGACGACGCGGGCGACAGAGAGCGGAAGCGTGGGAAAGGAAAGCAAGTGCGAGGGGGGGTCACGTTTGGGCGAACGGTTGCGATTCGATTTTCGCCGCGAGTTTACGCTACGGTGTAGTTGCACAATAACCTGCATTTTGACACAAAAATTTTCACCCACCGAACACTAGCTTTGCGCGTCATCATCGAATCCGCGCCACCGACATCGTAAGGCGCATCTGATCCCTTTTGAGTGAACGCGGACGCCCTGCCCTGTCTAGAGGTATGGTCTATGCCTAATACTCTGCATGCTATCTCAAACTGTGCACAGTTTGGTATGCTCGCGCTTTTCTGGTTGTGGGAAGGACCCCAACCATTATGGGAAGCGAGAAACTTTTGTCGCAAATTGGTTTCGCGAGTGAAAGTCTCTCGCAACCCAACCGAACCTCTCCGTGCCTGCCTCCCGAACCTAACTTTTAGCGTTGACTTCCGTTGAGTAATTCAGGTCTTGGGCTTTAACGGTACCCGAACCACACCCCAAGCAATCGATGCGATTGGTGGTCTGAAAAGTAAATTCGGCGGGAAATCAGTGACCAATCGCGTCAACCAGGTGTCAGTTTCCCAGGCCCCCCTCACCGACTACGCAACGCACCCTTGCTTGGCAATGCCTGGCAAGCCTCACGCCCGACCCACGTATCTCGAATTCAGTATGAATGAGACTTGTCCTCTCAACATTTGAAGCTTACAGTCTGTCACCGCACGGTACACAACACTCTCTGGAAATTATTTTCACAGGTCTATTCTCACCAGCGCTGCGATTTGGCAACGCTCCCGCTATATCCCGCGACTAGCTCCGCTTTCGCTGCGCGTTATCGCTCTAGAGATCAGGGCATCGTCGAGCGTAAGAAGGTATCATCCGGGCGCGCTGCGGTATCGCGAACTGGCGATAGGTGTCTCGCTGCATTTTAGTGAGCTCCTAATCTCCCATCGCTTATTGCATCCAATTGTGATGCAGACTCGCCATGATTCTGCCCCCATCGTCACTCTGCACCCCTTCCGCTCACCATCTAACAGTTCTCTCCTGCACCCCTCAGCAATCGCCCTTCCCATCCACTCAACATTCTCTTCGTTGCTGCATTGTCACATATGCTCGTGCGTTGTCGCTTTCCTACCGCTACCTTGCCTCTAATCCGCTTACTACGGTTCCGCCTACGTGCACACTCCGTCGCCGCTGTTCATTCTCTCCCGTGATGCTATTGCGATCCCTCTGTTGTTTGCACAGATATCCCCTCACCTTCGATTTGCATATATAGCACTAACGATTATCCTCGCGTCTTGCTCCCCCTGCGCGCCGGCAGGGATCGTGCACCGTCAGTCGACGTCGAGCAGCCTTTTGGTGAGCTCCTTCTCTCCCGGCCCATTTTTCAACCTTTTCCGCATTCTCCTGTGCAGCATGTCCGCTTTCACCCATGCGGCGCTTGCGCTCTCTCCCCTGCTGCGTTTCCGCCCTCCCCCTTTCACCGCTTGTGCTATCTCCTGTGCTGCGCTTGCGCTATGTCCCATCCCGCGCTAATCGCTCTTCACCGAGCTGCACTTGCTCTCTCTCCCATTCTGCACGCTTGCACTCTCTCCCGTGCTGCACGCTTGTGCTCTCTCCCGTGCTGCACGCTTGTGCTCTCTCCCGTGCTGCACGCTTGTGCTCTCTCCCGTGCTGCACGCTTGCCCTCTCTCCCTTGCTGCGCTTGAACTCTCTCCCGTGCTGCCCGTATCGCTTTCTCCCGTCCCGCGCTTGCTCTCTCTCTCACATTCTGCACGCTCGCCCTCTCTCCCATGCTGCGCTTGTGCTCTCCACCGTGCTGCGCTTGTGCTCTCCACCGTGCTGCGCTTGTGCTCTCCACCGTGCTGCGCTTGTGCTCTCCACCGTGCTGCGCTTGTGCTCTCCACCGTGCTGCGCTTGTGCTCTCCACCGTGCTGCGCTTGTGCTCTCCACCGTGCTGCGCTTGTGCTCTCCACCGTGCTGCGCTTGTGCTCTCCACCGTGCTGCGCTTGTGCTCTCCACCGTGCTGCGCTTGTGCTCTCCACCGTGCTGCGCTTGTGCTCTCCACCGTGCTGCGCTTGTGCTCTCCACCGTGCTGCGCTTGTGCTCTCCACCGTGCTGCGCTTGTGCTCTCCACCGTGCTGCGCTTGTGCTCTCCACCGTGCTGCGCTTGTGCTCTCCACCGTGCTGCGCTTGTGCTCTCCACCGTGCTGCGCTTGTGCTCTCCACCGTGCTGCGCTTGTGCTCTCCACCGTGCTGCGCTTGTGCTCTCCACCGTGCTGCGCTTGTGCTCTCCACCGTGCTGCGCTTGTGCTCTCCACCGTGCTGCGCTTGTGCTCTCCACCGTGCTGCGCTTGTGCTCTCCACCGTGCTGCGCTTGTGCTCTCCACCGTGCTGCGCTTGTGCTCTCCACCGTGCTGTGCTTGTGCTCTCCACCGTGCTGCGCTTGTGCTCTCCACCGTGCTGTGCTTGTGCTCTCCACCGTGCTGCGCTTGTGCTCTCCACCGTGCTGCGCTTGTGCTCTCCACCGTGCTGCGCTTGTGCTCTCCACCGTGCTGTGCGTGTGCTCTCCACCGTGCTGCGCTTGTGCTCTCCCCCGTGCTGCGCTTGTGCTCTCCCCCGTGCTGCGCGTAGCTCTCTATCCCGTCCCCCGCTAATCCCTACCAGACGGGCGCTACGCTACGCTTGGCCAGCGGTGCTCTCTCTGCGCGAGCTGTGCGGCTCCGTGGACCCCATCCCTTTCGTCTATGTTCCTTCCAATGGCATTTGCCATGTAATATTTCTGTATGTCGCGGATTATCCAGACCGGCAACGGCTAGCAGCAGAGCGTACGGCCCGTCCAGTCATCCGGGACGTGTGGCGGCATGATTTTTTCAGGGAGGTGTGGCGGCAGGATGTTTCCAGGGACCTGTGGCGGCAGGGTGATTTGGATCCGGACCCGATGCACCATTGTGAATTGGGCATTATGGATGATATTCTTGATGGCATCAAAGAACTGTTAGAATAGTATTGTACTGTGGCTTAGACATGAGCGCATGGTCCTATAAACCGTTGTTATAGAGCTCTCCTCCCACCTCCTGCTTCCTCCCTCACTCTCCTACACCCCCCCCCCACATCCTGCTATCTCTGCCCCCTCCTCGCCTTCTCTGACCACACGGATTTGGACAGACTTAGACCACGCAACACTCTACAGACGGGGTGCATTGTAAACAACTGCTTCAGCCCTCAGATTAGTGCCTAAACGGCCCGATACATCCGATACTTTAAACACAATTTCCTGATGGCTGTAGTCGTTCAGCTCTAGTGTGGGAAGAAACTCGTTGGCTAATAGAGAGATCAAATAAGCAATGAGTCCTGCCTTTGCTAACCTAGGAACTGTCTACAATTCCAGCACATGTTTAGCAAATGGTAACTCGACAGTCAAATTCGCAATGGTTGGCATCACCACTGGCAGCTTTGCTTGAATGGGCTTATCAGGTAGCTCTTTTGCACTCCTGAAACTCGTTAGGTAATAGAGAGAGAACAAATAAGCAAGCAACGAGTCCTTCTGCCTTGTTTAGCATAAGTAGTGTCTACTCTTGTTATTGTTCAAGAGATGGTCACTCGACAGTCGACTTCACAATGCTTGGCTTCACCACTGGCGGCTTGGCTTGAATAGGCTTCAGAGGTAGCTAGTGTGGGAAGAAACGCGTTAGCTAATAGAGAGAGAGCAAAGCACTCTCATCCCATCGCGCGCAATTCCATATTTTGCTAGTGTAATGAAATCAAAGCTTAGAAAGTGACCAATGTATTGCTCTAATCACAATGTATGCTGTGTAAACACTCTACTGCACAGTCTTGGATATTATGTGACTGTGTTGCTGAGAGGGCGCACCACGCCCTGAATCAGCGCCGACAACACGGCTACGTTTCTGCCACGTCAAACCAAGGTCAGCTCACCTGGCTTGAGTAGTGGGCGGAATTCTTTCCGTTGCATAGGAATTTCAGAGACAGCATCGCAGTCTGTGTACTGTACTCCGTGTTGGCTTATGCAACAGTTGAAGTGCAACCCCAAACGCCACCGTCAGATGCTCGCCATCTAGTGCGTCATTCCCTACACCATCACTGTATAAAATGCATTCATTGTTGCTACGCTGATCTGCTTGGCTTCCATCTCGAAGCAGTAGCCAACCTGAAATTTTGAAAAAAGTTTAGGGTGGCATAATATCACGATAAGTTGTCTAAGTTGCGCTCGTTTGGCCACTACACCTTCCCGTGCTTCCTTGACGCGACACAATTCTAGGCAACGGGGTGTCGGTGCGAAACTGACCAGATCGTTGCACAGTGCAAACCAAGCTCACAGACTTGTCGTGTTTGTCTTGTTGGCATCGTCCCTAAACTGCTCATACCAAGTTGTTGACATCACGCCAAGTACCTGTGCCACTTGGGCGCGAGATCGTAAATGATCCACCTGGGCAACCTGTAAAGGTATCGACGAGGGCTATTTCCACACAGTTGCAAGTCGCATTAGTTATTTGTTAAACTCTCACACGTCGAACACTTCGATGGGGAACCTTGGAAGGGACGTTCCTAGTCAAACCATGGGAGTCTTTATCTTTGAACCAGATAGGGCATCCTATTTGTTTTGGGGGTTGCTGGATAGCTAGAGGGTGATTCCTTAATCAAATGTTGGAACAAGGCCCGTGACATTCCAGCAAACGAGCTCGTACTCCCTCCCCAACGACCGTCGACCACCTTTGCAACTCCCCATCTTGCCAATCTGCCAAGGTCCGCTCCAGCGCCAATTGATGCCTACGTCGCCTGTTACTGTGAGTTAGGTTTAGTCGGATGGGCATGATCTCACGATTAAGTAGTTCATCCGCTCACTGACCTCACGACTCGTGTAATGCTTTACAACCAGGCGATTGTCGCAATGGGTCAAGGCGAGTACGAGGGTGAGGGAGAGGAAGGGAATGGAGGAGAAAGAGAGGAAGGATACGAGGAGGAAGAAGGAGCGCCCTTTGCGACGTATGAGGGGGATGGAGGCGTAGAAAGGCAAGGTGACGGATACGCTGGACAGGGAGGAGAGGGGTACGTAGAAGAAACGCATGGAGGCTACGCGATACAGGGTGCGCCTATGTACAAAGGCGCGGGGGGATATGCGGCAGTGGGGGCGGAAAAGTTCGCGGCAGAGGGGGAGAACCAGCACGAGGGAGAGGCGGGAGAAGGATACAATACGGGAGTGGGACGGGGGTATGGTACAGGAGGGGAGGAAGGATATGGCGCGGTCGGGGGGGCGGCGTATGCAGGTGCGGGTGCAGGATACGCTGGGGAAGAAGGAAATGTGTACGCGGGAGATGGTGAGCAGAATCAAGCAACGGAAAGGGGAGAAGGCCACGCGGGAGTGGCGGGAGAAGAAGGTGCGGGAGAGGGGGGAGAAGAAGATGCGGGAGAGGGGGGAGAACAAGATGCGGAAGAGGGGGGAGACGGATATGCAGGAGAGGGGGGAGACGGATATGCAGGAGAGGGGGGAGACGGAAATGTGGGAGAGGGGGGAGAAGACGATGCGGGAGAGGGGGGGGGGGAGAAGATGCGGAACAGGGGGGAGACGGATATGCGAGAGAGGGGGGAGACGGATATGCGGGAGAGGGGGGAGAAGAAGATGGGGAAGAGGGGGGAGAAGAAGATGGGGAAGAGGGGGGAGACAGATATGCGGGAGAGGGGGGACACGCGTATGCTAGAGAGGGGGGACACGCGTATGCGGGGGAGGGGGGACACGCGTATGCGGGAGAGGGGGGACACGCGTATGCAGGAGAGGGGGGACATGGGTATGCGGGAGAGGGGGGAGAGGGGCAAGCGGAAGTAGGGTTGGAAGCGGCGGTAGGTGCAACGAACCTTTCATATGAAGCAGGGGGAGCTGCAGGCGTCGTGGGCGAAGCTACCGTACCTACCCAGCCGCACAGTCATGGAGCTGTAGACGATGAGGACATCGAGGCGATCATGTACCCTGGAGCGCAAGCAATGGTCACACAACAGAGCCAGGCGTCAACCATGGACGAAGATGCTGAGGAGCGGAGAGCGTTGGAACGGGGTAAGGGGAGAGCGCTGAATGCTATTCCTGACGAGGGACGTGGAAGCATGCTGCAGAACGCCAAACGGGTTGCGAGGAAACGGGGCCGTGAAGAGGCGGTACCAGAGCAACCCACCCGTCAAGCGCGTGGAGCAGTGCGAGGCAGAGGGCGAGTGGGAGGGCACGGAGATGAGCGCGCGAAAGGACGTGGCGGTGGACGGGGCGGATGGCGAGGCGGCGGGCTGGGCGGAGGCAATGGCGATGGGATAGGCGACGGGATAGGCGACGGGAGGGGCGGAGGGCGAGGGGGAGGGAGAGGCCGAGGGAGAGGCGGAGAGAGAGGAGGAGGGAGGGGCGGAGGTCGGGGAGGAGGGCGCGGCGATGGGACGGGTGGAGGGCGCGTCGAAGGGAGAGGGGGAGGTCGAGGCGGCAATCGGGGTGGCGGACAAGGAGCCGGTGGTGGCAGAGGCCGAGCGGCTGGCACAGGACGAGGGAGAGGAAGGGGAGCAGCAGGTAGGCAAAGGTTGGCCTGAGTGGCCCTCTCTAGGCTGCTTGTTATGGTAAGAGAGTCAATGGTAGCTATGGTCCGCTCACACACATGTACGTAGCGTTACCCCATGAGCATGCAGGTGCACTGACTGCCTAAGCACGCACGGTCTCACCTTCTCCGCTCGCCCCATCCCCTTGCTCCGTGCGCATTGCTCCCTTCCCAGGCAGGCCAGCCACCAAAGCGTTGCCCCATGAGCTGCCGGTGCACTCTCTGCGCGAGCACACGCGGTCTCACCTTCTCCGCTCGCCCCATCCCCTTGCTCCCTGAGCATGTAGCAAAATAATCCGTTTGCTGTGTTGCGTACGTTCTTGGCAGTTAACATCGTGAATACGGGCGTTGGTCCGCCCATGGAGATATGCCATGTTCAACTAGGGCCGTCTGCACCTGGACAGCAGTTTCTGGGCATTTTTCAGCAACAGCACATCTCACGTGCTCCGGCAGTGGTCCCAGCACATCAGCCGGTGCTGGGAACGGGAGGACCTCGGCCAGTAGCTGCAGCAGCCCCACTGAACATGGGGTTGGCACACTCCAATCGTTCAGGGACTGCTGCTGGTCCACCGCGAATCACCCTGTCAGGAGGGCGAGTCGGCAGTGCCTACGCGTCTCAAGGCTTAGGCAATGCCCACCCGGCCACTTCAGCCCCTGCACCTGCACGTCCTGGAATGAGCAACGGCGGGGGAGGCAGGGCAACGATGTCAGGCTTACCACGGGCTCACATGCTCAGTGCAGGTGCTGCAAGCCGAGGCGGTGTTGCGTCGTACAGACTGGGATTAGGAGGAGCAGGGCAACCTGCACCATCTACTTCGGCAGGACATGGAAGCCGTATGATCCCAGGTCTGGCCCCCGTAGTCTCACCCAACTCCCCGGTCTCAGTCGGGCGTGGACGGGGCAGCCCAAGGGTTAACAGTGCAGGGGGCAGCACTGGGCAGCCCAATCATACGCAGAGAGGATGGGGTCCCACCGCATCAGCTGGTGGTGGTCGTGCAGGGGCACACCCTGGAGGGTCCAACATGGGTGGTAGATCCCAACCCAATGCCAGCGGGGGTGGTATGAATGGTGTGGCATGGGGCGCAGCACCTCTGCCATTAAATGGCAGTCAGGGTCGCGCACCATCGGCTGGCCGATCATCTGGTTCTCGCGGACCCGATGCAGCAGCATCAACTGGTTCACAGAGGCCGGTTGCTGTGCCAAGGCCTGGAATCGGTGCCGCGCAGCCCAGGCCGCGTGCTGTCGCGTCACCCGCTGAAAAGGTTGCACAGAATACATATGCAACAATGGCTGATCTGCAAGCACTACGGGATGAGCTGCTTGCAGGGCGGCTTTGCAGGCAGTGTGGTGGATGTGACCAGCATGGTCCAAACGGGGTGGATGGCGGAACTCAGAATGGTGGTTCAAAGCCGGTGTTGGAGCCGGTGCGTGTAAATTCACCGGAGGAAATTGCCCGCGACTTTATCAATGCGGAAAGCGAGGGCTGGCAGGTGAGTCTTGCGAAATGCTTCTGTTTTCAGAACCCAAGTGTAGGTATCACTCTACTTAGCGTTTTTTTTTTAGGGTGTGGACGATGGGATTACAAACCTCCTCATAACCTTTACATATACACGTGCATCACATTGTTTCCATGGCAGAAATTTTGCAGCAAGCTGGCGACGTGCTTCTTTTGGACAAACCGCGCAAACGACATCCAACTTTACCCCAACGACACCGAAACCCTGCTTGGATTTAAAAAAATGATGTCACCTTCAGCTGTTCCACACCTTGAGCTTTTGTGGACTTACCGATGCAAGCAAACCCTGAGAACGGTCGCCGTCACTAACACGAACACTCGGTGCCTCATTGCCAAAAGGCTTCGCAAGAAGGTGCTACCAGCACTGGGCATCAAGAGAAAAAACGACCAGGAGGGTGTCGAGGACCCCAAGGAGTTCTTTGACGACGCCGAGCTGTTGAACAGCTACGGGGACGGTGAGTAAGCAGCCATGTATATGATCCCCTTGTTCCCCCCCATCTCCGTCTCGCCCCTGCCTTACTCTCTGCCTGGCAGAGCCACTGCAAGGCACAGCAGCACCTAATCCTGCTCCTCTCCCCCCATCTCCGTCTCGCCCCTCCCTTACTCTCTGCCTGGCAGAGCCACTGCAAGGCACAGCAGCACCTAAACCTGCTCCTCTCCCCCCCATCTCCGTCTCGCCCCTGCCTTACTCTCTGCCTGGCAGAGCCACTGCATTGCACGGCAGCACCTAATCTGCTCCTTTCCCCCCATCTCCGTCTCGCCCCTGCCTTACTCTCTGCCTGGCAGAGCCACTGCAAGGCACAGCAGCACCTAAACCTGCTCCTCTCCCCCCATCTCCGTCTCGCCCCTGCCTTACTCTCTGCCTGGCAGAGCCACTGCAAGGCACAGCAGCACCTAATCCTGCTCCTCTCCCCCCATCTCCGTCTCGCCCCTCCCTTACTCTCTGCCTGGCAGAGCCACTGCAAGGCACAGCAGCACCTAAACCTGCTCCTCTCCCCCCCATCTCCGTCTCGCCCCTGCCTTACTCTCTGCCTGGCAGAGCCACTGCATTGCACGGCAGCACCTAATCTGCTCCTTTCCCCCCATCTCCGTCTCGCCCCTGCCTTACTCTCTGCCTGGCAGAGCCACTGCAAGGCACAGCAGCACCTAAACCTGCTCCTTTCCCCCCATCTCCGTCTCGCCCCTGCCTTAATCTCTGCCTGGCAGAGCCACTGCAAGGCACAGCAGCACCTAAACCTGCTCCTCTCCCCCCATCTCCGTCTCGCCCTTGCCTTACTCTCTGCCTGGCAGAGCCACTGCAAGGCACGGCAGCACCTAAACCTCCTCCTCTCCCCCCATCTCCGTCTCGCCCCTGCCTTAATCTCTGCCTGGCAGAGCCACTGCAAGGCACAGCAGCACCTAAACCTGCTCCTCTCCCCCCCATCTCCGTCTCGCCCCTGCCTTACTCTCTGCCTGGCAGAGCCACTGCAAGGCACAGCAGCACCTAAACCTGCTCCTCTCCCCCCATCTCCGTCTCACCCCTCCCTTACTCTCTGCCTGGCAGAGCCACTGCAAGGCACAGCAGCACCTAATCCTGCTCCTCTCCCCCCATCTCCGTCTCGCCCCTCCCTTACTCTCTGCCTGGCAGAGCCACTGCAAGGCACAGCAGCACCTAAACCTGCTCCTCTCCCCCCCATCTCCGTCTCGCCCCTGCCTTACTCTCTGCCTGGCAGAGCCACTGCATTGCACGGCAGCACCTAATCTGCTCCTTTCCCCCCATCTCCGTCTCGCCCCTGCCTTACTCTCTGCCTGGCAGAGCCACTGCAAGGCACAGCAGCACCTAAACCTGCTCCTTTCCCCCCATCTCCGTCTCGCCCCTGCCTTAATCTCTGCCTGGCAGAGCCACTGCAAGGCACAGCAGCACCTAAACCTGCTCCTCTCCCCCCATCTCCGTCTCGCCCTTGCCTTACTCTCTGCCTGGCAGAGCCACTGCAAGGCACGGCAGCACCTAAACCTCCTCCTCTCCCCCCATCTCCGTCTCGCCCCTGCCTTAATCTCTGCCTGGCAGAGCCACTGCAAGGCACAGCAGCACCTAAACCTGCTCCTCTCCCCCCCATCTCCGTCTCGCCCCTGCCTTACTCTCTGCCTGGCAGAGCCACTGCATTGCACGGCAGCACCTAATCTGCTCCTTTCCCCCCATCTCCGTCTCGCCCCTGCCTTACTCTCTGCCTGGCAGAGCCACTGCAAGGCACAGCAGCACCTAAACCTGCTCCTCTCCCCCCATCTCCGTCTCGCCCCTGCCTTACTCTCTGCCTGGCAGAGCCACTGCAAGGCACAGCAGCTCCTAAACCTGCTCCTCTCCCCCCCATCTCCGTCTCGCCCCTGCCTTACTCTCTGCCTGGCAGAGCCACTGTAAGGCACAGCAGCACCTAAACCTGCTCCTCTCCCCCCATCTCCGTCTCGCCCTTGCCTTATTCTCTGCCTGGCAGAGCCACTGCAAGGCACGGCAGCACCTAAACCTCCTCCTCTCCCCCCATCTCTGTCTCGCCCCTGCCTTACTCTCTGCCTGGCAGAGCCACTGCAAGGCACAGCAGCACCTAAACCTGCTCCTCTCCCCCCATCTCCGTCTCGCCCCTGCCTTACTCTCTGCCTGGCAGAGCCACTGCAAGGCACAGCAGCACCTAAACCTGCTCCTCTCCCCCCATCTCCGTCTCGCCCCTGCCTTACTCTCTGCCTGGCAGAGCCACTGCAAGGCACAGCAGCACCTAAACCTGCTCCTTTCCCCCCATCTCCGTCTCGCCCCTGCCTTAATCTCTGCCTGGCAGAGCCACTGCAAGGCACAGCAGCACCTAAACCTGCTCCTCTCCCCCCATCTCCGTCTCGCCCTTGCCTTACTCTCTGCCTGGCAGAGCCACTGCAAGGCACGGCAGCACCTAAACCTCCTCCTCTCCCCCCATCTCCGTCTCGCCCCTGCCTTAATCTCTGCCTGGCAGAGCCACTGCAAGGCACAGCAGCACCTAAACCTGCTCCTCTCCCCCCCATCTCCGTCTCGCCCCTGCCTTACTCTCTGCCTGGCAGAGCCACTGCAAGGCACGGCAGCACCTAATCTGCTCCTTTCCCCCCATCTCCGTCTCGCCCCTGCCTTACTCTCTGCCTGGCAGAGCCACTGCAAGGCACAGCAGCACCTAAACCTGCTCCTCTCCCCCCATCTCCGTCTCGCCCCTGCCTTACTCTCTGCCTGGCAGAGCCACTGCAAGGCACAGCAGCACCTAAACCTGCTCCTCTCCCCCCATCTCCGTCTCGCCCCTGCCTTACTCTCTGCCTGGCAGAGCCACTGCAAGGCACGGCAGCACCTAATCTGCTCCTTTCCCCCCATCTCCGTCTCGCCCCTGCCTTACTCTCTGCCTGGCAGAGCCACTGCAAGGCACAGCAGCACCTAAACCTGCTCCTCTCCCCCCATCTCCGTCTCGCCCCTGCCTTACTCTCTGCCTGGCAGAGCCACTGCAAGGCACAGCAGTACCTAAACCTGCTCCTCTCCCCCCATCTCCGTCTCGCCCCTGCCTTACTCTCTGCCTGGCAGAGCCACTGCAAGGCACGGCAGCACCTAATCTGCTCCTTTCCCCCCATCTCCGTCTCGCCCCTGCCTTACTCTCTGCCTGGCAGAGCCACTGCAAGGCACAGCAGCACCTAAACCTGCTCCTCTCCCCCCATCTCCGTCTCGCCCCTGCCTTACTCTCTGCCTGGCAGAGCCACTGCAAGGCACAGCAGCACCTAAACCTGCTCCTCTCCCCCCATCTCCGTCTCGCCCCTGCCTTACTCTCTGCCTGGCAGAGCCACTGCAAGGCACAGCAGCACCTAAACCTGCTCCTCTCCCCCCATCTCCGTCTCGCCCCTGCCTTACTCTCTGCCTGGCAGAGCCACTGCAAGGCACAGCAGCACCTAAACCTGCTCCTCTCCCCCCATCTCCGTCTCGCCCCTGCCTTACTCTCTGCCTGGCAGAGCCACTGCAAGGCACGGCAGCACCTAATCTGCTCCTTTCCCCCCATCTCCGTCTCGCCCCTGCCTTACTCTCTGCCTGGCAGAGCCACTGCAAGGCACAGCAGCACCTAAACCTGCTCCTCTCCCCCCATCTCCGTCTCGCCCCTGCCTTACTCTCTGCCTGGCAGAGCCACTGCAAGGCACAGCAGCACCTAAACCTGCTCCTCTCCCCCCATCTCCGTCTCGCCCCTGCCTTACTCTCTGCCTGGCAGAGCCACTGCAAGGCACAGCAGCACCTAAACCTGCTCCTCTCCCCCCCATCTCCGTCTCGCCCCTGCCTTACTCTCTGCCTGGCAGAGCCACTGCAAGGCACAGCAGCACCTAAACCTGCTCCTCTCCCCCCATCTCCGTCTCGCCCCTGCCTTACTCTCTGCCTGGCAGAGCCACTGCAAGGCACAGCAGCACCTAAACCTGCTCCTCTCCCCCCATCTCCGTCTCGCCCCTGCCTTACTCTCTGCCTGGCAGAGCCACTGCAAGGCACAGCAGCACCTAAACCTGCTCCTCTCCCCCCCATCTCCGTCTCGCCCCTGCCTTACTCTCTGCCTGGCAGAGCCACTGCAAGGCACAGCAGCACCTAAACCTGCTCCTCTCCCCCCATCTCCGTCTCGCCCTTGCCTTACTCTCTGCCTGGCAAAGCCACTGCAAGGCACGGCAGCACCTAAACCTCCTCCTCTCCCCCCATCTCCGTCTCGCCCCTGCCTTACTCTCTGCCTGGCAGAGCCACTGCAAGGCACGGCAGCACCTAGACCTGCTTCTCTCCCCCCATCTCCGTCTTGCCCCTGCCTTACTCTCTGCCTGGCAGAGCCACTGCAAGGCACAGCAGCACCTAAACCTGCTCCTCTCCCCCCCATCTCCGTCTCGCCCCTGCCTTACTCTCTGCCTGGCAGAGCCACTGCAAGGCACAGCAGCACCTAAACCTGCTCCTCTCCCCCCATCTCCGTCTCGCCCCTGCCTTACTCTCTGCCTGGCAGAGCCACTGCAAGGCACAGCAGCACCTAAACCTGCTCCTCTCCCCCAATCTCCGTCTCGCCCCTGCCTTACTCTCTGCCTGGCAGAGCCACTGCAAGGCACAGCAGCACCTAAACCTGCTCCTCTCCCCCCATCTCCGTCTTGCCCCTGCCTTATGCCGCATGAGCATGCCCATGCTAGCTCGGTGGGAGCACACAACACATGCTCTCACTCCCTCCGCTCGCCCCAATTCCCTTGATTCCAGCTCCTTGCTCCCTTTCCCGTCAGTCCAGGCACCCATGCCATGCCGCATGAGCATGCCCATGCTAGCTCGGTGGGAGCACACAACACATGCGCGTCTGCCATGCGCGTTATCATGCCCATACTCGCTTGGAGGGAGCACACGAGCTCTCACCCACTCCGCCTGCCCCTTGTTTCCAGCCCCATGCTCCCTTCACCGTAAAGAAAGCCACCCCTGCCCTGCCTCCCGGAGCACTTATTGTGTCTTGCTCCACTCCCTACATTTCCTGAACACCCTTGTACCAATTTACAGAAGAATGGGGACCGGACTGGCACGTAGACGACGAAAGAAAGTGGCCTTTTTCGAGCGTAATTTTCAGTGAGGGAATTTTCGCTGCATTCGTGAGATCAGGCATGTCACTGGGGGTATGGAAGACCCGCCAGATTGCCTTTGCATTGTTCACTGTAAGTACAAGCACCTTGATTCTGATTTTGCTTTTTGTAGTTGCATCCGTTCCAGAAACTCATTGCCGTTATCGTGCCTTGCAGCTGGAATACCCGATCTTGACTAAGGAGGCCGATGGAAAATTGAGCAGCAAACCCGACTACAACAGGCCGCTGTATGAGGAAAAAGTCAAGTGGTGCCGGAAATGGGTGGCAGGGCCTACGTTCTCAGAAATTTCTTGTCTGTTTTTCTTGAATCCAGACACGTTTTTTTGGGCTCATCTGAGGGCCTAGACAAGCCCTTTCCACTCATCTGATTTTTTAGACAAGGTTCCTATATTTATCTGTTTTTTAAGACAACCTTATATGTTTCGTCTGAGACTGCAGACATCGCGTACTTTCTCGTCTGATACCGACAAATTACCCCACCTGGCCAGTTGCCCACCTGGCTAGTTGCCCACATGCCCTGTTGCCCAATGTTCCCGACGAGACTTGCCACTCGCCGCGTTACCGTGCTGCCACCGCCAGGGTGTACGTTGCCTCTGGTCGGTGACAACACCTCACGTCAAATGCGCCAGACTCACCCCGCTGGCACGAATCTTTCCAACTGGTTTGGCATATTCGTGCCAGCGCACGGCAGACAGCTGCATTTGCAACACCGACTGCCCTCAGTGCGCGTAGAGTCAGCAGGGGTGGATGGCATGGCAGCTTCCAGCGGAGAGGGAGACGTTCATGCATCGCGTACTTTCTCGTCTGATACCGACAAATTACCCCACCTGGCCAGTTGCCCACCTGGCTAGTTGCCCACATGCCCTGTTGCCCAATGTTCCCGACGAGACTTGCCACTCGCCGCGTTACCGTGCTGCCACCGCCAGGGTGTACGTTGCCTCTGGTCGGTGACAACACCTCACGTCAAATGCGCCAGACTCACCCCGCTGGCACGAATCTTTCCAACTGGTTTGGCATATTCGTGCCAGCGCACGGCAGACAGCTGCATTTGCAACACCGACTGCCCTCAGTGCGCGTAGAGTCAGCAGGGGTGGATGGCATGGCAGCTTCCAGCGGAGAGGGAGACGTTCATGCATCGCGCCTCGTCCCAACGATACCCCCCCCTCACTCCCCGCATCACCAGGGGTCGGTCCTTCATTTTAACCTCGTTGGCGAGAGCGAGGTAGTGTGTTGTAGTTGCCACGATGGCCTCTGACTCTCGCACGGAGGCCCCTCCAGCTTCCACTCTGCATGCTTCTCCGCCACCTTCCAGTGCGTTGCCACGCTCACGCACTGGCCTTGATTTTCTTACCGGGGGGTGTTTCACCACAACTCCCGTCTCAGCAGCTCCTGTTGCTCCTTCGGCCGGTGAGAATGAGAGGCCAGACTCTCCCGAGCAGCCTTACCCGTTCGCGGAAATGGATGCCGAGCCGCTAATACCTTTTTCCCCAGTTCGATCACCGAGCTCAACAAGCCTTCCTGGGGGTTCGTCATCTGATCAACCTCACGCATCTGCCTCTCCTACAAAAAACAACCCTTTCAAATCCCGCTCGCCGTTCCTTCTGCCGCGGTTTCCGGGCAAAACTAAGTATGTTCAACATAAGCTTTCTTTCGCGAAGTGCCCAAGCTCTCCCTCTGCAGGAAATCCCGCTTCTAAGGACGATGGAGGGGAGAGCCGTGCTGAAAAGAACCCCGGTCCCGCGATTCTGACGCTGGAGGAGCTGCAGCTAAAAGCCAAGCAGCAGTGGCAACGCCACTTCCCTTGGCTTATCATCGGCGACAACTCCGAAGGTCGTCCTTGCATGAGGTGCAAGATCTGCACGGTGTACGCAGATCCAGAGTCGCAGTACGGCGCTCGGGGCGAGGGAGGCATCGACATACAGAAGAAAACGATGAGGAAACACCAGTGGAGCATCCGGCACCGGGCGGCGAAGGCACGATTGGAGCAGCGTGAAGGCCCGCAGTCGAAGCAGGCTTCTCTCTCCAACTTTGGAGATAAGAGTGCGGAAGCGCGGCGGTTGATCAAGTTGTTTCTGACTGTGAGCTTCATTTGCAAATCTGATACCCCCATCGCATTGTTTATGACACTCGTGCAGTTCATGGCGGAGATGGGAACGCCAGATATGCCCGAGAAGGACCAAGGGACTTACTGTACACCGTAAGTGTTGAATCAAATCCCCCCTCTGGTATTTTTTCACCAGCCATTTAACAAATGATTGCCTAATGTACGACGCAGGTACGGCTTCAAGCAGCTGGTTGAGACTCTGGTGTGCTACTTGAAGGCGAAGCAGATGCAGCACATCGTCGCCAGTCCGTTCATTGGCCTTCAGCTCGACGAAAGCACCGACAGAAGGCGTGGCAAACACATGATTGTGTATGCCACGTTTCTCCGCGGAACGGCGGTGACGACCGAGTTCCTCGCCAACCTATCTGTCGAGAAGTGCGACGCAGCATCGCTGGAGGCCGTCCTCCTAACACACCTTGCAGCTTGCGGCCTTGAACTGACGAAGATCAGCGGCATGACGACGGACGGCGCAAGTGTCATGACGGGATGTGACACAGGCCTGGTGGCGAGATTTCGGTCACGTGTTCCGCACATCGTACCATGCCATTGCGTTGCCCACAGGTTGTGTACCGTGAGTTTTGTTAGTTGTTTCTGTTATATTTACTTGCAGATAACTAACCAATCTGTTACGTGTTATGCCTGCAGGGAAGCACTGGGTGCTAAGGATGCTGCTCTAGAATTTCCAGAGTTCAATGTCGTTGATAAGGTCGTCCGGGCCTTTGCGGACATTCTCGGCCGCAGCATCGTGCAACATGCGCGATTCAAGAAGCTACAGGAGGTGATCACGCGCACCAACCTGGAGATGCAAGGCATCAAGGACGTACGGTGGCTATCACGCGGGGACGCCATCGAGCGGTTTGCTGACGTGCTGCCTGCTGCAGTCGTCCTGCTGCATGAGTACGACAAGGCTTCTTACACCCTTTTAACAAGTCTGAAGTTTCAGTTTTTCTTGTTCTTCCTGGTTGATGTGCTTCAGGAGTTGAACAGCCTCAATCTCAAGTTTCAGCGACGGCAGGTAAGGGATTGATGTCATAGATTACACTTGGGTTCCCTTCCCGAGACTAATTTGCGTCTGTTTTATATGTGCAGCTCGATGTGACGCAGGTTCTTCCGATGGTGCAGCACACCACACTGGCCCTGACCAGTCGCTACGTGGAGTATGGCTCCACCTTCGGCGACAACAGTGGTCGTCTCGCGACATTCCTGAAAGCGCGCGGGAGCCTTGAGCATCGCGAGGTGAAGGTCGAAAGCGTTGACGGCGAGGGAACACCCGTGACGCACACCTACATTCTGCACGAGGACTACATCGCGAAGGAGAAATTTGGGGGGGATTTGGCGTCGTGCGTGGAGGCGGCATCGGCGTTCGCGGCGAGGACGGTGTTTTTTATCGACGACCGCATGAAGAGCCTGAAGTCGCTGGAAGGGAGCCGTCTCTTTCCGCAAGGACGGTACCCTCGCTCGCGCTCTAAGAGAGCGCGCCGATTTTCCGTGTGGCTCGAGTCTCTGCGCAACCTGTTCAAGAAGAAACCGCAACATCCAGACACCCTTCCTGGTAAGCGCTATATTTTATGTCAGCATGTGACCCATGTCTTGGATGATTTTGGCTGTGGTGTCATTTGTATATACTGAACTATAAAATGTGCTATCGATGTTCCATCCCCCCTCCCCTCGCTATCAGGTGTCGATTGGGGCAAAGCTGCCAAGGAGCTCACCAGCTTCACCACAATTCTCTCCACTCATCACGAAGACCTCTCCTTCCACGACAGCCTCTCGCAGATGCTCTCAACGCCGGATTGGGAGTCGGCCTTTCCGAACCTCGGTCGCCTGTGGATAGCTGTTGCCGTGCTCCCACTCAGCACTGTTGAGTGTGAGCGCGGTTTTAGCCGTCAGAACATTATTAAAAGCTGGGTGCGCGGCAGCTTGTGCGACACGACACTCGGGGACCTGATGACTGTCTCTCTTCTGAATTACGAGCTGAACACAGAGGAGCTGGTGGAGAGGTGGCATGGCAGTAAGAAGAGGCGGCCGGCACGTGAGGTGGTCATGGCTCAAGGATCACGTCCGGTGAAGAGACGGCGGTCCCATCACCAGAAGAAACGTGCGGTAGCAATAGCAGCAGCGGAAGAGGCAACCCGCGCACAGAAAGAGGCGGAGGTGGCTGCCACAAGGGAGAGAGAGAGAGCGGCAGAAGAAGCATGGGAACTCCCTACCTGGAGGAAGGGCAAAGCCGCAGCTACATTAGAGGAAACCTCAGACTCTGAGTCTGAGAGAGACAGCGGTAGTGATGATGTTGACAGTGGCAGCAGCAGTAATGCTAGTGACTCCTCTTAGAATAGGATCTTACATTAAAATGAATAGCTGTAGTGAATTGATTATATGTAGTAGGACTATTTGAACATTTTCGTCTGAACGCCTAGACAAGGAGTTCAAATTCGTCTGAAAGCCTAGACATCGTTACAGCATTCGTCTGACGATCAGACAAGCAACCAGGACTCGGTCTTAACGTCAGACGGGCCCCCAGACTAAAGTTAGCCCTGATGGGTGGAGCATGCGGTCACCAACCTTGGCGTAAGCTATGATGACAGCAGGGACGTGTTTGTGTTCGGCCATGGCATCCTCATCGATGCTAGTGACTACGCAGCTGGATTCAAGAAGACGACTATTGTTCTGCAGTAGCCTAGCATGTTTCCCGAATTTGTTGCTTCTATTGACTCAGTAAATTTAATGTGTAGGCACATTTAATATACCAGTTTAATAACAAATTAAAAATAACAAATTTAAATTACATTTATATATACGGATAAATGAACATTTACAACACTGAATTACACGAATGTATATGAAAGCCATCTAACTGTACTGTTTTCACTGTTCTCGTTGTATCAGAAATATTGGCAATTGACTGATTGCATCCCATGCTCGATGGTGATGGAAATCCGCCGGAAACCCTGTCCGTTTTCCGTCGGAA